TGAGTTTTCAAAGGTATTGCTTCAGCAAAATTAGAAAAAGAACACGTAACCAACAAAATGTACTTATATCCTTCTTTTGATTTTATTAAGGGACCTAATATATCCATGTGCATTCTTTCAAACACGCCTGCGATGGGTAAAGGATTCAAAGGTGCTGGAGCATCTCTACGTAAATGCTTAACCTTTTGACACACTTCACATGATTTGACGTACTCCATGACGTCTTTGTAAAGTGACTTCCAAAAATACTTATTCCTAATGGAGGCAAAAGTTATATCACAACCTTGATGACCACCGGCTGCTAGTGAATCATGATATGCATGTAACACATCACTTCTTAGTGTTACTGGAATTGCTAATTGTCTTATTATTCTCATCTTTTCTGGCATTCCGCGTGAACGAGGTTGATACAGATGATACAAAATATCATCTATCATTACATATTGTTCTGATTCTGCAATGATTTTACGCGCTTGTTTTAAGTCACTAGGTAACTCATTTTGTTCTAGGTAACGTATTATATCTTGAAACTCAGGGCATTCGCGTTGATCTTGTTTTTATTTCTCTTTGTCGTTTACATTTGTAATATCAACACTATTCATATCATCATATTCACTTAAATCATGTTCAATTCGTTTATCTGTTTGTTTTGGTGAGAAAAGTTTAGCTTGGGTCCAATGTTTATCTTGACACATGTCAATATGACATTTTCTTAACTGACTGTTGTTAACAGTATCCAAAACATTTACTGGTTCATATTCACGTCTCGATAATGCGTCAGCTGGGTTTGTTTTTCCAGGTCTGTGAATTATTTCAAAATCTAGGCCTTGTAATTTTAATGACCATCTGATAAGCCTGCCAGATGTATGTATAACATTTTGTAACCATGAAATTGCTTTGTTATCTGTATACACTTTAAAGTGGTTTTTGGACAAATATTGTTCAAATTGTTTTATCCCTTCAATTACTGCCAGACATTCTAATTCATGAATTGCGTAGTTCTTTTCGGCGTTGTTTAAAGACCTCCCTCCATACGCAATAACCCTATCTTGATTGTTGTCATTCTTTTGCCCTAAAATATAACCTATAGCGGAAGTAGATGCGTCCGTTGTTAATGTAAACGGACGCGACATATCTGGATAAGCCAGTATTGGTGGTGACATTAACGCTTCTTGTAATGTTTGAAATGACGCTTCACATTCAGGACTCCATGGAAATTGTACGTCTTTCCGTAAAAGTTTATTTAAGGGATCTGCTATTTTACTGAAGCCTTTTATAAATTTTCTGTAGAAGTTACACAACCCTAAAAAACTTCTGACGTCTCTTACAGCTTTTGGCGTTGGAAATGATTTTATGGCTTAAAGATTTTTCTCATGGGGTCTTATTCCATTTTTATCTATTACATGACCTAAATATTTAGCTTTTGGTGTTGCAAACTTACATTTTGATGGCTTAAGTCTGAGATTTGCAGATCTTAGTTTTTGGAATACTTGATTTAAATGTTTTAAATGATCTTCAAATGTTTTGCTCATGACCAAAATGTCATCAATGTATATCAGTATTGTTTTCCAATTCATGTCTCTAAAAATGTGACTCATTAAGGCCTGGAAGCTAACACCAGCGTTACGAAGGCCATACGCTAAACGTAAGATTTGGAAGTGTCCGTGGTGTGTGATGAACGCAGTCTTGTGTTTAGTTTCAGGGTCAAGAGGTAATTGCCAGTATGCGCCTGCCATATCTAAACTAGATAAATATCTAGCACCTGATGTACCTATCGTTTCAAAAACATCTTCTAAACGTGGGAGTGGCCAGTGCATGGGTTTTGTGACTTTGTTCAACTTCCGGTAATCAATCGCGAATCTGTATTCTCCATTTTTCGTTTTTACAAGTACTACTGGACTACTGTACTCACTCATGCTTTCTTCGATTATATCGTGTTGTAACCTTTCGTCTACTTGTTTGACAATTTCATCTTTCAGCTTCGGTGACGTACGATAAAACGTTTGTTTCACAGGGATATCATTTATTGTGTCAATTCTATGCTGATACATATTTGCTGAACCTAATTCTGAAAGATTGGTAGCAAAAACCTCACGATTACGTCCTAACAACATTTTTAATTGTTGTTTCTGATCTTCACTCATGCCTCAATCGGCAAAGTTTATATTTAATTCATCTGCATTCCGCAATGCTTCTTGATCTGATAACCTATCAGCTTTTTGTGCTGTATCTCCCTTTGACATTTCATTTAAAGCACTGACGCTTGCCAGACTCACTGAACTCGCAACAGCTAATATTGTTCTTTTGGGAATGAAAATACTTTCATCGCTAGGGTTCAATATTCTATAAGCAGATTTATTTTTATCAATAGAAACTAAACATTTTGCTCTAATAAGTTTTTTCTTTGACTCGAGCATTCGTACTGGTTCTAGTAAAGCTACTGAAACAGAGGAAGATATTTTCACTGGTATTAAGCATTCACATCTTGGTGGAATCAATTCTGATTTAAAGTTACGCACTAAACCTAATACAGGTGGACTATACAAAGGTACGAGCAAATTATAATCAGACAATGCCATGCTATCAATTTTTACATTGTGTTTACTTAAGAAATCTGTGCCTACTATCAAACCTCTTGGCAATTGACTAAATACGTGGACTTTATGTTTTATGATCACATCTCCAAAACAAAGAGGTAACTCTACTTTTCCTAGAACTTTAATCACAGATCCATCAACAACTGAAACTTCTTTTAATGACGGTTTTTCGCATTCATTTCGATCCTTTTTTCCTTAATTTTGATAAAAGAGATTCTGATACACAAGATGTGACGGCACCCGTGTCAACCAAAGCATTGACATGTTGTTTGTCGATTTGAATTGATATTAGATTATTAGCTTGGTAATCGGAAATAATAGAAATTGGCACTTTTCTATCTTCAATCTTGTTATAAAACCTTTTTCTTTTTCTTAGTCGTTTGTTTACACGTGCAGAATGACAGACTTTTTCTATGTGTCCTATTTTACCACAACAATTACAGTTAAAATTGCGAGCAAAACAATTAGTTCTGAGATGTGTGTACTCACCACATCCCTGACACATCGACCATTTTCTTATTGGATTTCGTTGTTGAGGATAGTTTTGACTTCCAGATGATGTTAATTTGTACTCTGAGCGTCGCAGATGCCTGCCGCGTTGGGGCATACGTCTGGCGTTGGGAGTGAATTTTCCTGGATACTCTGTAGGGCTCGCTCTTGGGGTTTCAAAGTTTTTTCATTCCTGGTTTCACTTGGGTCTTGCAGTAGATGGATTGCAGACTTTGCATTGACGGCGTCATTAATTGAATTCTGAAGAGCGTCTATTTTCTCTGTTAACATTTTTATGTCATTTCGTTGACCTCTTCTCGTCGGCTGAACTGCGTTTTCTGCAATGCGCGCGTGGTGCATAAGAGAACCAAAGTCAGAGGGCTCCTTTTGCAATACGAATGGGCGGAGTTCGTGTAGTAACCCATTCATTACCACTGTAAAGGCTGTTTTCTCATCTAAACGCGCACGTTTGGCGTCGTGACGCATCGACTCGATGTACCTCTGTACTGGTTCTTCTGGAAGTTGATGACGCTTGAAAAATTCTGAGGCTTTCTCCCAAGTTTCTCCGGATTTCAGTTCATATCGCTGTCGGAACTCGCGGACTAGCGATTTCCAGTCTTTCTGTACTTCCACTGTTAAACACTCGTTCCAGTTTAACACTGTTTGATTCAGTAAGAGAGGAAATAAGGCGGTGATATGTTCATCTTCTAGTTTTTTATACTGCGTATAGTTTTCCACCTTTCTACATCTTCGTTTGTATTACCAGTAAACTTTTCTGGCGCTAAAGTCAAATCTGACAACATCTTCATTTTTTTCAGTTATTGATTGTTGCTAGGGTAATGACTTTTGGCGATTTTCAATACCCAGCATACTCAGTTTTCGCTGCACTGGGGCACTGACGATGTTTGCCCTTGGGTGGATGGTGTGAACCCTTCGGTGTCTACGCTCCTGCTGCCGTTATCACCATAACTGTATCACCGTTCCGCTTGTCTCGGTAGAGCGGGGATCGATTTTTCCTCCACCACTTGTTATAGTGAGGAATGACGACAGCAGTTTGGAGCTTTCGAACGTTTATTCACCGACTCTTGCTTCATACAACTTCACAAATATTTATGCTCAATTTCTCCGTACTGAACACGCATTTACTTGTTTTCTTTTCCATTGTCTTTGGGTGATTTCAAAATATTTTCCATTCGCATGTTGCAAGTCACCGTGCAACATTTCCTTATTAGGTAATCCATAAGAGACTTGTTTTCAATAAAAGATATCTAAAATATTATTTGGATTACTCATATTTGGACCTTATCCAAAACTCAGTTATCATGTGATAAATAGATGATCAAAATTATTATATGTTATGAAATTAACCAATCACATTAACTGTTACTGACTTTGACCTTTCCCATCTTTTTCTGACACTAAAAACATGTTCTACACTTGTTGACTCTTGGAGAAACTTAACTTACACTCAATTACTATCTGTCCTTTTACTCTTTTGATTCCGCTTTAATTGTTATCCGTAATTTGTGAAAGTGTAAGTAATTTGCTTTACAACAATACTCTAGGAATATGGTTTCAAGTCATGGAGAATATTATTTTACACGAATAACTGCCAGCCTTCGTTGACAAGGTGCCTCAGTATGTACATGTAGATGATATTAAAATTTGTTTTCAATTTGATTTTGATTTAAAGGTTGCTTATTGACAAATAGTTGTTGGATATATATTAGACATGTACTACTGCTACAGTGACTCAACTTTTCCATTTGGGCAACTTTACTGCAAGTTCTATGATTAATTTTACCTACGTACTTATTAATTAGAATAGCTCCTTTTAAGGTGTTTATGGAATAGATAGTTGTGCAGACATTTAGGGCCTACATATCATTGCAGACGTCTTGGCATATTAATATTTTATATATTATCCGTAAAACGTGCCCCTTCGTCCTTTTGCAACATAAGTTCATGTAAAGGAACGTCAGTGTTCTTAGCCCGGTTGTAAGATCTCTTTTTCCTTTTGGCCATACAGAAACACCAAGATCTTGGCGGTACGCCATCTTCTAGCGCTTTCTGTCTTGTTTCAGGCAAGAAGCATGTAACCAAGGCTGCCACCAAGGCGAAACAGACGCTGATGACGTAAGGTGTCCCCTGCCAGAACTTCGTCTGAAATTAAACAAGGAAAACATTAAGGAATTCTCGTCAAGCTTCAAGTTCATTAAGGAATTCTCCTCAAGCTTCAAGTTTCTCTGTCTCTTGTTCACATATAAGCTTATTGCTTCTATTTTAAACATAATAATAATAATAATAATAATAATAATAATAATAATTGAAATGAATGAAAATATACATTCTAGGAATATTGTGTTAATGTAAAGGGGGGTTTGGTTCATAGAAACGTCATTACCTTTCTCACAGGTATTTTAACCGTAGAACCGTGCAACTTCCATACAAAATAAAAGTTTGGCGCAGTCAAACTACATTTTATGGCGACAACAATCCCCAGCTTATTTGCGCACATGCGCATTCTTCACATGCTCAGTTCTCCCGTAGAGGGGTAGTCTCCTTTGAGGCACACATTGCTACATTTATGAGTGGACGTCACTGCATGAACTCATTTTGCGCTCGATTCATTCTGTTAACGCGCGCGATATGATTAAGCTAGAAGTTATTTCCAACTTTCAACTTAAATCTTTAGTTCAAAAAATTTCACCGGCTTTTACTTCGATGAGAACCTTCAAGCAGTAAATGTTGAAGCACGTTTACGACTTTTACGACAGTGAAATATTCTTTACAGCTTCAAGCATGCATGGATCAACCGTACAACTGCCGACTGTCACATGTATGCGGTAAGTTATTTTCTCTACAGATTATAACAGTTGCTGTTGACAAAACTTCCTTTGTCCATGGATTTCTTGTTTGCTCTGATGAAGGTCACGGCGACTGCACAAAAAAAGGTCCTTGTGTACAACATGGTCTGTAGCTTTAGACGCTCGTAACTCTCGATACTCTGCATTTGCAGTCCATTTAATACAACTTACTACGTTGAATAAAGCACACATTTCAATTTACCGTCGTCGACCATCAGTTCAAAAGTTTGAACTTACCACATACGCCATCTGAGGAGCAATGATACCGCCTATTCTAGCCGACATGGAGGCAAATCCCAGACCTTGATTCCTGGTAATAAACTAGTACATATATGGCAATTGCTATTTGATCGTGTTCTGGAGAATGAATATGATCTTTCGGAGACACTCTGGTTTCAACAGTCTGTTCTCTAAAGTTTGTTATTAAAACGTGTCGTGGTCAGCTTCGTTGATTTTGCTTATGAAGAAACGATAAATATGGTCTTTTCTGAACAGAAAAACTAATTTAAGTTTCTTGACCGGTTTTACATGTCTGTTTCCTCATTGACGTACGCAAAATTGTATACAAACTACTGACATAGATAAAAGCGACAAACATACTTGTATTAAATAATTACTGCATGTATTAAATAATTACTGCATGTGTATATCCCTTGTGTTGATTTTAACCAGGTATATAGAACAAATACTTTACACAACTCTGCTTATATTACCTTATGGGCGTCGGATAGCTTTCCGAGGTTAGAATAAACACGGCTTGCCAACTTATTGTTATACTGGTTGCTGCTATGTTAGATATCACTGATACTACCATCCATAACTCCGTGTACCGCCCAATAGCTACCAGGACAATGAGAGGAATCAGTAAAAATGCCGCTGCAAGCATAGAAACATTCACTATTCTACTTCGACCAAACCTGGAAAGTCAACGTATTGGGGTAAAAATGTGATATTTTCGACACCATGCTTATTTATATGGCGTATGATAAAGCACAGCAATGTAGCATAAGTGGATTTAAAATTGTAGTCTTGACTCTGATTCTCCGATGGCATGAAATGTGTTTTATCATGTATATAGTTTTATCAAACGTTTTTCTTCTTTATTTGCATATTAAATAATTTCATCAGCGGAGTGATTGAAATTGATATCCAGGATTGTTTAGCTCAAATTTCCCATCAACACTGGCTGAAATACTGTCTAAAGACGCTGTTACCTACCATCTTGTTAATATGAGTATGAGAATCGCAGCGAAGTACGAAAGACTGGCGTTGATGGCAAGGTGAACATATTTGTTGCCTGGCAAATTCTTTAAATTAAACAATAAACCATAGCCTAAAAGACTGTTTGTAAACCTGAAAAGAATAATTAAAAATTGAAAGGCTTCACTAGATTTTGTCCAAAATTAATAAGTGAATGAACGTAATTACTCATGTGTAATAATGCCATAATATATGAAAATGGATTATTCCACATTTTCACGTGTCTTTCGTTAAGTGTTACCAATGTGCACACAATTACAGTGATTGCGGTAGATAAAAGATCTTAAACTTACCAAATAAACATAATAATAGTCGTAGTTCTTGTAAGCGTTGGGGTCCGAAAGAGATCCCAAAACCCGTACCGTCTGCCGCGTTGTGCTAAATGCATTTCTTCCTGAAATCATTCAAACTTCAAATATTCTCCACTTATTCTATTTCATATACTTACTTTATGAAATAGTAAGTATATGAAATATATATACTTACTATACAACATGTTAATTCTCAAAGAAAAAATACCATATACTTAAAAATCCATACAACTGCATTGGTTTTGGCTTACTCCATTGTTTATTTATTTATTTACTCAATTCAAAAATTTCATATCAGCAATGTAACTTAAAAGGAGGGTGGTTTCCTTATTTTGGAGACTCCTTGTTTACGAATTGAATGTTGTCCTATGTACAACGTGAAACACAAAAGCTTTCTTTCTGATGACATTTGATACTATTGACAACATATTCGACAGTTGATAAAGGAAACCAACTTCACACTGTTGCACAAAAGCATCCATATCTGGCAAAGGTTTTTTGTTGCCTTTCGCAATTCTTTCGGCTATAGTGACGACCTCGTCATATCGACCTTGTGACAATAGCCATCTCGGACTCTCGGGAAGAAACCTGATAGAAGAACACATAACTATTTAAATGTTATAATATACTACAACTTTTATGAAGTTAAATGAGTGGAAGTTAAATATAAAGGTTTGACTATCTAATGTTAGTACATTATGAATTGATAATAATCATGCTGAAATATAAAGGTCTCTGGGAGGAGATCGCTATAAGCATCAGCATACTTGTGATGTTTCTGACCATAGGGGTCGCTAGTACTCATGCAGTTTCAAAATTGATCTAGTGTTTCAACAGGCTATTCTTGTGACCCCTGTGATTACAGAGGGTAAGAGGCCTGTGGACAATAAAGGTGGTTTTGTAAGTGGACATTGAAACTCCGGTTGATTAAATGATTTTTTTTAAACTTACCACCAAGCGATGACGAATGAGAGTCCTGGTAAAGTAGTGCTCAGCAAAAATGTGCGCCATTCTCGGATGAAGTAGCCAAGCAGCACCTGTACCAGTGATCCCAATGGCCACAGCCCTAACCCACCGACAACGGGGCGATACTTAGGACCGAGGAATTCAACACTCCAAATGTAGCCGGCGACGATACAGCCTACGCCACAACGACAGAAAATGCAACGGAGAATCTCATTTACGATTGAAAAGAGAGAGAGAGAGAGAGAGAGAGAGAGAGAGAGAGAGAGAGCGAGCTAAATTTCATTTCAGTGATAACGCCCTTAAAAAAATTACTCGATGCTAAGTACCAGTTAGAATTTCAATATACATGTATTTTAAAACAGGATTATTCCGTTATGTTATCCAAGTTGGGATTTGATGTAATTTGCATTGCCATATGGTTTTTGAGAAAAGTCATTATTTTACCTCCAATCCCTGTTCCATTAATAAAGCGTAGTGCAGCAAACTGTATCCATCCATTAGTAATAGCTTGTGCTGCTCCTATTATGCTGGTGAACAACAAGGCAAAAAAGTACACCTGTAAGTTATAATGGTAAAATTGTCATGGCATGTTTCAGCTCTCTGCGCTTGTTGTGGATTATTTTTGTAAATGCGTTTTGTAGTCAAAATTAAAGCAGTAATCAAACCTTTAATACATTCTAATTTTATTTAATCCCCAAAGAGAAAAGAAAAACATTTAATGGATAGAATCAATTTTACTCAGAAACTGAACTCGCTAACAAACTGACAATCAAAACTGAAAGTGAAATTTCAATAATAACAAACTGAGGCATAGAACAATTTACTAGTGGCCTAGATACAAGTATTTGGTCTGATGATCGGTACTCTACCTTCTTTCGACCGAAAGCGTCCCCCAGCTGTCCAAACACCAGGGAACCTATCAGCACCCCTGCCATCTGGAGGGACGATATAGTGTCACTGATAAAGTCTCGGTTGCAGATTAAATCCCACTGGAACGATTCAATTGATTCATTTTTTTTCATAGACTTCATTCAGAACAGTGAACTAACTTGTCCGAGAGTCAAATATGGCGACCCACTAAAAAGCTTGCCGTCTAATAGATTCCTCATGGGGAAGTGGGTCGGGACTTATTGCAAGGGACAGACGTAAAGCATACTTGCGCTTGTCTTGCCTCATAGGAAAATTAGTCTTTCAGAATGGGACGCGATTTGAGCAAGGCGACTGTAGTACAAAATTATATACCTCCACTGCTTCTTCTTCAACAGTATTAATTTTTATAATTGTTTTTAATTTATTGCTATTTATTTTTATGTCAGTCAAGGAAGACTTTATTAATGGTAAAAATGATGGTAAAATTCCGTGTTAAATCACGAAAAAACATTGTTATCATAAGAGGACTACTAGGAAATTGTTTATCAGTATGTAGAGGATACTGTCAAGGCAGCATAACATACACCTCTGTAACTGTAGATCAACACTGCATATGAATGAAAAGCATTAAAAAAATTACAAAATAAAGGGACCCACAGACATAAAGCATGTTAGACGCCGAGCAATACAGGTATAACTCATATCTCTAATAAAGGCTGTGCAACGAACAGACTGAGCTGGAGCAAAAAAGTATGAACAATTTTTTTTATCTATCCGAGTGGAAATAGTCTCCATAAGCATAGATATCGTTAAGATACTCCCAGAACGTTTATTTTTAAAATTGTAAGAATAAGATACTCTTTTGACAGAGGCAAGTCATGAAAACACTTGCAGAGTTTAGCAAGTGCACGAAATAACACACAAAACGACCAATAGCAAGCGTAGATCGTGACAGAGAGAAAGCCCTCCACTATTACCTCTGTTACAATGGATGTAAAATCAGGGTTAAAAGTATGGCCAGAACAGGGAAGACCACTCTTCGTGCACTTGCCTATTTCCACCACATCCTCCCCTTGGTTACTGCTATTGTATAGCAATGGTACAGCTACTGATGCTGTCTCAGTTACATTATACACAGTCAAGCTATCATTCAAAGTCTGGTTCCCATACTGATTTGTGCACTTCCAACCCGGGTCAGCTCCGACGAAGACTAGGGCTAACATGGAAAATCCCCCGATGAAGTCCATTCCTAGAGTTATGGTAAATACTATTGCAAATTGATACCATCCGATCTGACCTTGAAAAAGTAAACAAGAAACAGGCCTTAATGTACCTTGCAACAAAATGAATTACTGAATATTAAACCAAAGAATATTTAGGTTATTCAGAAAAGTGCATTTGCATCCTGTTCTAGTCCCATATTTCGTCGCAGCAACAGTGCCACATAATTCTTCAGCCCTACACGTTTAAGTGTACTATCGATATTAAATATCATTCCCTTAAAAAAAGACATCAAATTGTGTCTATAACCGAGTAATTGTTCAGCCTACAGGACGTTTCGTACCATGTCATTTAAATGTCAGTAATTCTAATTGAGTCCTAAATAACTTAGATTGCCAAATAGTATTTCGGAAGGAAATCTCGACAACATGCACTTTTATTTAAGGAGTGGAACAGTTTTTAAGGTCTTATTTCTGAAAGATAAGTAGCTTTGGGGGATATACAGACATAAGAATATGCCTTTGTCATATTTTCGAGTTCATGTTGTACACGTTTAATTTTCCTTCGTTCTTCGTATGCAGCAGATATTGCTTATTTTTACCGGGTGGCAATTTCGAGCTAGCAGAACTGTACTACGGTACATATTTTTACCCAACACTTACCAACTTTGAGCAGGATATCTTCAAACTGAGGCATGATGTACTTTGTATTAATTGTTTATGAGCACCAGTCAAAACGGATATTCAACACTAGGCACCCGTCTGCGACACACGGGGCAGTGCTGTGTCCCAAACGTGGATCAAAACACTTGAAAACAAACGGAGTAAGACTTAGGACGACAAGGTTTATCAGGCACCATTCCACAAAGTCACGTCTACAGATGCACACAATTGAGCAATAATTGGAAATATGATTGTAATCACTTTTAAACAATTCTGATTTCATTCGATGCTGGAATATACACTAACGCATGTATTATAAAGCAGCAAAAAGTAACAGAAAAAAATCAACGTGCTGCAAATATTGCACAAAACATGTGCTTTTGAAAGAGTTATTATTTAAAATTGTACCTCTGAGCAGTGTGCAATTCTTCACATATAGACACATGCTATGTCACCACCGACGTACAATGATATGTAATTAGTATATCTTACCTATGGAGTTAATGCAGGCTGTAGCATGGATAGGCCTATGTGTGCAGTCGCTGTGATTATAATGAGCAATATCAACGTGACGTAGACCCTATTGAGTAACTGATAATTTGTAGTTGAACAGTAAAGTGTAAAACTGTATAGGTCCACCGATCTATATACGAATGTGGCTAATAAAAAGTACAACTAAACTGACACTCAAAACGTGATGAATTAGTACAAAGGACTGCGATTAGTCATAAGATATAAGAGAATCGATTTCCGTGGCTAAATTTTCTTTTACATTCTGTACCTTTTGCACTGGTTTGTTTGTTTACAAGTTTCACATTCGCTGAAGAAATATTGCAATTAAGGCCTTCATGTCATTTGTGTTAAAGGTACATACCTGTACGAACCGAGCATCGGTGGAGCGTAGATTCCCAGTACACATGTAAACCACTTCTACTAGATTCTTATATGACTCAAATAAATTTGACATGCCAAGGGATAAACTGAATAGATCACTCGATCAGCCATAAAAGACCTTTAGACTGCTCTTTTCTTTAAATTTTTGGTTGTAAATTTAACCTACTTTCGTGACCTACTTTCCTGCCCCATTGACATACAGCTTAGAATGCCAGCAGAAATATCCGTTCAAATATCATTTTCGGGTAAAATTAAACAATGCCTTTTGGTAATTCTCTTAGTTATACTACTTGAAACTATATGCTGGCATTTGGTTGGTTTTTGTGACAAAAATTGACTTTGTATGCATCTTTAAACAGAGATCTTTTGTATCTAAGCTGCCATTTTCATTAATTTGGCCGATACTTCAGACTGCATGTCCATAGTAGGGGCCAGAATTATCAACGAGATATTATTTGTATTATGTTATATTGTCTTGGTAGTTATTCAATACAGGGGCGGATCCAGGATTATTTGAAGGGGGGGGGGGGGTCCGCGGATGCGAAGGCAGCCCCCCTCCCCACCCCCACCTCCAACCCCCCTTCCCGCGTTTGGCATGGGCTTCGGGGCCCACTAAAGGGCCCCGAAAATTTTAGGTATTTTATAGGGCGATCGGTGTTATTTGGTACGGTTTAGAACTATGATTCAGCTAGTCAAAATTCTAATTTCAATTCCAAGCTGCATTATGTAGCAAAATAGTCCAATACGGGACATATTGTGTTGGCAGTAACTGAATTAAAAATATAATTAAAACTCAACTGGCAGCACCCTTATGGTAGTAACAGAAACTCTTCAGCTTTTGGAGTCTTCTTTGTTGACAATATTTGTCATGAAGGGCAGAAACCACTAAATCAGCCAATTACCGACTGTTATAGACGAATGTAGTTCAGTGAGAGAAAATGAGTGCTTTTTTCCATTTTTTTCCTGGCATTTCTTGTGTGTTGCTAGGGTTAATTTTGGTATCAACTAGCAGGCTAGTGTGTAAACTACTGCCAGTTTTTTTTTCAAGACCAGGCACAGGTGCGGTGCAGTCGTGAGACCTCTGGCGGCGGAGGCTACTGACTGTGAGTGGTGCAGTGGTTTGTTTACAAACAGAGGGGTGCACATCTTCAAGTGATGCTGGTAAGACAGTTGACTTGATGACAGTACATTTTTTTGCCATTGGGAGTTATGTCAGTGTGTCTGCTGTCCATGGGGATGGGAAATGTTTCACAGAGTAATTTTGTTCATGCAGTTTTGCAGGCATTTCTTAGTATGGTTGTCATTGGGAAATTATTTGGTGGTTTCTGCCCTGAATGGACTCAAGTGGAGATCGTATAGTACACATGAAGTGAAGGGAGCTAGATTGGCGGGAAACGTGCTTATTAGTGTGTAATATTACCACTATCAAAATAATATTCTAGGAATGTGGTTTCAAGCCATGGAGAATATTGTTTTTCACGAATAACTGCCAGCCTTCATTGACAAGGTGCCTCAGTAGTTGAAATTAAAATTTGTATTCGATTTTGATTTAAAGCTTGTTTAACATTTTTTATTGAAAAACAGTCGTTGGATAAATATTGGACTTGTACTGCCACAGTTAATCGGCTTTTTTATCAGGGCAACTTTGCTGTAAGTTCTATAACTTATTTTACCTACGTACATGTAAATTAGAATAGCTCTTTTTAAGGTATCTATGGAATAGATAGTTGTGCAAACGTTTTACATATTTGCTTTAGTTTTTATTTAGCAAAACCACTGTTATTGCAGACGTCTTGGCATATTGATATTATATTTTATCCGTGAAACGTGCCCCTTCGTCTTTTTGCAACATAAGTTCATGTAAAGGAACGTCAGTGTTCTTAGCCTGGTCGTAAGATCTCTTTTTCCTTTTGGCCATACAGAAACACCAAGATCTCGGCGGCACGCCATCTTCTAGCGCTTTCTGTCTTGTTTCAGGCAAGAAACATGTAACCAAACCTGCTGCAAAGGCAAAACAGCCGCTGATGACGTAAGGTGACCCCTTCCAGAACTTGGTCTGAAGTAAAACAAGGAAGAACATTAATGAATGGTCTCAAAAGCTTCTCGTTTCCCCGTCCTTTAATTACATATAAGCTATATTGTTTTTTACAAAAAAAAAAAAAAAAAAAAAAAAAAAAAAAAATCAAAAGTAATTAAAATATACATTCAAGAATATTGTGTTAATATAGAATGGGGTAGGCCTATTCATGGACTCTAATTAGGTCCATGGCCTATTAAATCCATAAAAATATCATTACCTTAATCATTGGTATTTTAACTTCACGCAGAACTTTTCAACTTTCACACTTTGGACGTTCGTAACTCGCATGTTCGTAACCCTCGATACTCTGCATTTGCAGCATATTTTATACTACTGCCTATGTTGAAAAGCACTCATCAAAGTTTACAGCCGTTGGACCATCAGTTGAATAGTTAAAAAGAACGGTGGAGCAACATTTCAGTGGCTTGTATGGAACTTACCGCGTACGCCATCTGAGGAGCAATGATACCACCTATTCGAGCTGACATGGAGGCAAACCCTAGACCCTGATTCCTGGAAATATGAACAAGTACATATTTGACAACTGATATTGGGTTGTGTCAGGGCAATTGACATAATTCTTTTCAACTTCGTTGGATTTGGTTGTGAAGAAATGATTAAATTCGCTAAAAACACATCTTTTCTGTAATGTAAAGCTGATATCTTCCGAGGGCCGTTTACACATATCTACATCAGCACTGACGTACGATATACTGTAAACAGCTGCATTGATAAAGATAAAAACGACAAGAAAATAGTTACAATCATTGTATACAAAGTCTCTAATATCAGCTATGTATAAAAATGAAGTAATCCACCTTATCGGCGTCGGGTAGCATTCCGAGGTGAGAATATACATGGCATGCCAACCTATTAGTATACTGGTGTGTGATATATTAGATATCACTGAGACTACCACCCACAACTCCGTATACCGCCCAATAGCTACCAGGACAATGAGAGGAATCAGTAAAACTGCCGCTGAAAGCAGACAGACATTCGCTATTCTACTTCGACCAATCCTGGAAAATAAACATATTTCAGTAAAGAAGAGTGCCAGCCTTCGATCGCCACCATAGAATATGACTTATCACCAAAGCACAACAATGTAGTTAAAGAAGTTATAAAACATTATATATATGTATATAATCTTCATTCTAATTATTTGATGACAATCTATGAACAGTATATTGTTATCTTGACAAGTTTCTCTATAATATTTTAAACATATCTTATTTATGGAGTGATTTTACTTTGCAAAATTGTTTGGCTCAAAGCATCTATATACACTGGGTGGATTTCGGTTGAGAGCCGCTCTTACGTACCATCTAGTTAATACGGGCATCAGAACAGCAGCTAAGTAGGACAGACTGAAGTTGATGGCAAGGTTAACATACTTGTTGCCTGGCAAGTTTTTCAAATTGAATAATACACCGTAGCTAAAAAGACTGTTTGTAAACCTAAAAATAATTAACGAAATTAATGAAAAATTGAAAGGTTTCAGATCCCACAAAAAAACGTGGTCATGGTTAATATGTGAAGGACGTTAAATAATAGTTTGTAACAATGTTGCCATATATCAAAATACGTATTTACATTTTTTCACGTATGGTACACAACACATTACCACGCCGTACACCATAACATCGATTACCACTCAAACCTACCAAATAAACATGATCATAGTTGTAGTTCTTGTGAGAGTCGGGGTCCGGAAGAGATCCCAAAATCCGTACCGTCTACTGCGTTGTGCTAAATGCATTTCTTCCTGAAAACATAAACCTTTCACTTTGTCTACTTTACTTTATACACTGTACTTACTAACTATGCTGTGGTATATGTTACTACTATAAAAACTTTTCCATATACTGGTATACACGAACACCTGCAAACGTATTAAATTAGACCTACTTTATTGTTTTTACTTATTTGCTTTATTCAAGAATTTTCATATCAGCAAATTATTTAACAAAAAAAGGGGGGCGGTTTCCATATTTTGAAACTCCTTGCATGTTTATGAATATTAAATTTACCATTTGCACAGCTTGAACAACAAAATTTTTTATTACACACTAAGGGATGATTTAATACGATATTATTAACAACGTTTATAACCGTTTGCAAATGAAAGAAAAACTTACTTCACACTGTTGCACAAAAGCATCCATATCTGGCAAAGGCTTTTTGTTGCTTTTCGCTATTCTTTTGGCAATAGTGACAACCTCGTCATATCGACCCTGCGACAGCAGCCACCTTGGACTCTCCGGAAGAAACCTGGAAATAGTACACATAACTATTTCAACATTGCTTTATATCATAAAATGCAGAAGTGATACTGAGGGGGGGGGGGGGGGGGGGCAGTGTACTGGCCCTATTGTCTATTTCATGTTCCTAACTGAATTGATTGTACTCATTCTGAATTTCAGAGGTCGCTGGGAGAAGATTAGCATGCCTCTGCCGTTCCCATTATCCAGACAGGCTTTCGGATAATGGCGGTGAGTTGCCTGAGGCCTCTGGATCTCAGGGTGACACGGCTAACTGCTACACATGTATATCTAATTGAGAGAAATATCTTATTCGGTTTTAAACATACCACCAAGCGGTGATGATTGACAGCCCTGGCAAAGAAGTGCTCAGCAGAAGTGTACGCCATTCTCGGATGAAGTAGCCAAATAGTAGAAGTACCAGCAACCCTAGTGGCCACAGCCCTAACCCATTGATAACGGGGCGATACTTAGGACCGAGGAATTCAACACTCCAAATGTAGCCGACAACAATACAACCTGCATCAGAACGAAAGAAAATACAATGCAGAATCTCATTTATGATTTAAAGGAGAGATAGAGAGGTTAAATGAAGGTTTTAATTAAGTGTTCAAAGCACTAAATTACCTGCTTGATGATATGCACTAGTTCTTATGCAGCCATCACATCCACGATGGGATTTGAACACACTTAAAGGGATAATAACTCTTCCTTTTAGCCAAAAAATGAATTTTCCTGGAGTAAACAACAATTTTCCCATACTTACCAATGGTTATTGAATCCATTTTTACATTCAAAGTTAGTCCCTGTTTTTTTTTCTAAAAAGTTTTTTTTTTTTTTGTTATAATCTCTTAAGAGATTATAACAGAGTATAGCCGTCAGTGGAGGTCACGTTGTCTAAAGACAAGCTCAGGTATCAGAATAATAGCTATAACTGCAATTTTTGTGGTAAAACAGAAAATATCAATCTATGAGTTGTCCACAATGTTTTTATTGTTTATTGTTTTTATTGTGGAATATAGACCTCATTAAAAGAGTTATTATCCCTTTAAGTTCACGACATATTTGTGTTACTAAATGATTTAAGGCAGGTGTCATTTTACCTCCAATCCCCGTTCCACTAAGGAAGCGTAGTATAGCAAACTGTATCCAGTCATTAGTAAAAGCTTGTGCTGCTCCTACTATGCTGGTGAACAACAAGGCAAAAAAGTACACCTACAAAATAGTGGTTAAGTTCTCATGGCATGTTTAAGCTGTCTGTTCTTTTTATTGATTGTTTTCTTAATGTACATTGCAGTGGCAATAATGATTATCAAAACTAAAACAAAAGTTTCATTAAAAACAAACAGTGGAATGGATGGGTTTAATCAATGACCTAGATATAGGTATTTGGTCTGATGATCAGCACTTTACCTTCTTTCGACCGAAAGCGTCCCCCAGCTGTCCAAACACCAGGCAACCTATCAGTACTCCTGCCATCTGGAGGGACGATATAGTGTCACTGATAAAGTCTCGGTTGCAGATTAAATCCCACTGGAACGATACATTTCATTCATTCGTCATTATCATAGTATCACGCACGCGCTGAAAGAGATCTGTGTGCTGTATAATCTCCATGTGTTATAGGATGTTTGCGTTACGCATTTTGAGAGTTGTCTTCCACATTTACCTTAATGTATTAAAAGCAATTATGTCAATTTTGATGCCAACTTTATTGTAAAAACAAATGCATTCTTTTTTTTCTGTGCATAGCTTTTTTCTATGTAATAAGTGCTCTGGGTTAAGAAGTTTTTTTCAGCCTCTATTTTATACTTAAAGATTTGACGAATGGGGCTATCAGTTTTTTTCACCACTGGGTGGCGCGCGTGTTTTAGTTGGGGTACTTTTGCGCATGCGCGTACTTTCTCGTGTGTTTGCAGTTTCATTTTTAATCTGACGCTGTAAATATCGCTCTAAATAATGCCAGGATACTGTTGTGTTCCGGAATGTACATCGTCAACAGCAGGTCATTCTTTTCCGAAAGACACAAAGCTGAGTTACCAGTGGAGAGTTGCCATCAGGAGGGTTGATTCTTCATCAAAAACACTATGGAAACCAAAGGCACATGACAAAGTCTGTTTCCTCCACTTTCGTGAGGAAGATTACACTTCTACGTAAGTTGTACTTGCTGTTGTCGCTTTTAGTATTAATAATGAGTTTGTCAACTTATTCATTAGGTCTTTGTTATCGATGTTTAAGTAATTGTGTCGTTTAACGTGCTTAGAATGTTAATTTTTAAGACATTCTTCACCTAACATATACATGTATGTAGCGATTTGAGGGAGAAAACACTCTACCGACTAAGCTACCGAGCCCGGGTCAACCCCGACCAGCCACTACAATTATTTCTTCGTTTTTATGTGATAATACATAAGGTTTTGTAAAGGCCACGTTTTCAAATTAGGACAACTTGATTTTTATTGTATTAATAGTCGTTATGTGCACTCCTTTTGCAGATGAGAGAAAAAGACTGAAGCCAGGAACGATACCATCCATATTTCCATTTAATAATTCGCAAAGTATCAGATCCGATGAAGTGGAGGTAAATATAACGCATGATATAATAACAGATTTATAAATAAAATGTTTCTTTTTATTTGTATAATTATCTGTCTTAATACTAGAAATACTAGAGACGGACTAAAGGGGACAAGAGGCAGTCAGATCTGCGTCATTTCTATCACCTACACAGATTTTATGTGTTAATTAACAACGAAGTATTTTTCTTTGTGTAATTTATTAACTTATGTATTTATTTTTTGTTGTATCCTATATAGGATGAGTCTCAAGCAGATGAAGCAGTGGCAGACAAACATGAAGACTGCGCTGGTGAGAGCCAAAAAGAAAGTACAGCTTCCCAGTGTGATATCACTACACCATCAGACACAAGAGAAAGCATCATGCTGTACCAGAAAAATGCAAAGGCTGTCTAGTATCAAACTGGATTTATAGTCATATTGAACATTTCATGTTGTTTTTCAATGGCCTTTGGCCAGCAGCTCACCACTTGAATTTCAAATGTTTGTCACCAGGGCCAATGTTTTTTGATCATTAAGAAACTGAGACAAGCCTTTGACGATTATTTAGCTCTCCGTTTCAAGCTATCGGTAACAACGGTGTCAGAAATAATAAGCACATGGATCAACTTTGTTTTTCCAGCTCAGTGAAATGAACATTTGGCCAGAACGTGACATTGTTGACGACTATATGTCTGTAAATTTTAAGAAATATGGAGTATAGATTTCATGGGTAAACTGGCATAATTTGTCCTTGTCTTGTCTTTCGGTTGTGGTTAAAATATCACCAAACCTAAAAATGATGAAATTAAATTAGTGAGATAGGTTTTTTTTTTACTCTTCTTTTCAATTTGTATTCCAAATGCAAAATGAAATTGTACATTCATGGCATTAAATGTTGACCTTCAAACCATGACATATCATCTCACAACTTGTATTTCTGTATTATAATGCAACTACAGGTATATATAGTAGCTCAAGCTAGGACACGATATTGATACAAGACATTTGAACAAGTAAAAAACAAGCAAACTTATTTTCGTTTGCACACCTACCTCGATGCTGTTATTCTCCATGATCTTTCTTCATGCCACACTCGACTTTTACTTTGGCCTCTAGTTCTGTTTTCAAGTTCTGACACTTCCTTCTCTGTGACCTACCAACATCAATGCAATTATGAGGGAGTGAAAAAAACAATGATGCTAACAAAACGATGCTAACATTCTTGGCAAACACTGTTTTGATTGTCTACCTCATCTATACTTAGTTATGTCAATTGTCATTGACATAAAACACGCATCAACCCTTGTTTCTCCTTTACAAATTTGTGTTGACACAAGTCATGTGTTAAATGTCGGACCTGGTACACGAAATTTGATTACCGAAACGAACGGTCCTTTATCGACTAGGAGTGCCTACAATAAACATATTTTAAACATAAATACCTTCATAATATTCTCGGAATATGGAAATACGCAATGACAATATCATTATCTTGAAATATAGTAATAAATTAGGCATATTAGTAGTGCGGAACTAGCCGCCGCTTACACCTGGCTTTTGACAGGGAGCTCACACAGAAACCCATATTTTACGGGAAGATTCGAGCTCGAAACCTTCAATATTAATGATACAATTGACACATTTATAAGTAAACACACTAACCTTTCTACCAAATCCTGTTTCTTTCCTCTAGTGGAGGCTCCTCTTTCAACTAGTTGAAGTTTTAACTTCGCCACCGTTTGCTTCCCATACTCTAAAGCCATTTCTACACGGACGCGAAAACGAGGCTATCTTCAATAACCACTATTACCCCAGCGCCCTCTTTAGGACAAACGGCTCCGCGTATAGCCCCATTGTATTACTAAACGTAAAATATGTTTAGGGATTTTAAAATTACATTTTTATACTATTTCCCTAAATATTCTAAACGTATCATACATTCTTTGTGACTTGGTCTATAATGTACTTATTTTTTCTTGTAAGTTATGATATTTATTAAAAAATCTATCAAGAGCAAGTTTTTAGTCACTGCATTGTCACCTCAGTACGATCTGAACAGTTCTCATTTGAAGGCTCAAAAATAATTCACTTAAAGGATATCGTTATTTAGATGGCTGGAAATGTGTTATAGCGAAAGTCACTCATACATATAGGAATGTTAAATTTTTAAATTTTAATTTTAATTAAAAACAAAGGAAGACTTTCTTGTCTTTAGATCACGTGTGACATTATACTGCCAATATCGGCATCAGAAGAGGACTAGCAGGACACTGTTCATCAGTATGTAAAGAGGCAATGTCTGGCATGTCATTTTAGCGTGTGTATCAATTTTTTTTAATTATTTTTATGGGTAGCATGAGTGTCTGTGAGTTTGTATTGCATCAACATTGAAAAGAATTTTAACAGAATTACAAAAACGTAAGAGCCCTCAGACAGAGAGCATGTACGTTAGACGCCGAGACATTAAGTGCATGTCTGTAATACAGGCTGTGCAGGTAAAAAAAGTTAAGCGTAAATTTTGCCTTCTTATAACTGATGATAATTGAAATCTTTGCACTAATAATAACCAAGAATATATTCATCATTTAACGTAAATATATTGTTTAGATATTATCATTCCGTTTGTTTTGTAAGGTCAACAAGAATCAAATCTTATTCTCACGATTTTGACAGACACGAAATCTATTGTGTGCTTTCGTTAAACGCTTGTGTATTAACTATCATGGCATAGCTCAAATTGCAACCAATCGCAAGCATTAAAGGTGACAGTGCGAAAGGCCTCTTATAACACATATACAGTACTTACCTCTGTTACAATGGATGTAAACCCAGTGTTGAAGGTATGGCCAGGACAGGGAAGACCCCCCTCCATGCACTTGCTTGTTTCCACCACATCCTCCCCTTGGTTACTGATGTTGTATAGCAATGGTACAGAAATTATCTCTGTTACATTATACACAGTCAAGCTATCATTCAAAGTCTGGTTCCCATACTGATTTATACACTTCCAACCCGGGTGAGCTCCGACGAAGACTAGGGCTAACATGGAAAATGCCCCGACGAACTCCCATCCTAGTGATATGATGAATACTATCGCAAATTGGTACCATCCGATCTGACCTTAAAGGAAGAAATTGATAAATATCTTAAAACAGTTTTTAAAAGTATTTTAACAGTCGTCAAAGGACCTTTGGGTACAATGAAGACCTAAATATTTAACCAAAGCATTATTACATAACTAAGAAATATGTATTGGCGCACTGTTCTAATCCCTAATCCCGACGCAAATACAGTGCAACCTAATTTTAAATGCCTTTCACGAATCATCACATACACGAGATTCCGTAACATTTTACTAAGATAGGGGGGGCTAATTTAGTTAGAGATGATCCATGAATAAATTAGACTGCCTTTGTTTTATTGACTTTTCAGTTTTTTGAAGGAAGTTTTTAGTTTTAGGTCTGAAAGTCTAAAAGATTAGTAGCTTTGCAAAATATTAAAATATAGAAATATGACATTTTTGAACGTTAATGAATACGTTTAATTTTAAATTTCTTGAATATTTCTGAATTAAAACGTTTGCTCAGTGTTCCTTTAGTGCAATGTCAGGGTACGTCCACATTGTGTACAAACTACAAACTATTTTTACTCAATATCTTCAAAGACTTACCAACTTCCAGCAATATATCCTCAAACTGAGGCATGTCACACTTTGAATTAGTTGACTTCGAGTACAGATTAAAACGGATATTCAACACACAGGCACCTGTTTGCGCCACACGGGACGGTGCCGTGTGAAAAACGAAGATCACAGCAGCTGTGCTGAGACCAAACGGAAAATGTCCGGCAGTGATAAGGATATTCAAGTGTCATTCCGTAAGGTGGGCATTTGATTCAAGTCTGTAACGCACATATTTTGGGAAATATTTGTATTTCTGTTTCATATCACTTTTTTAAAAATTATTTTGGAGAATACACTTATAGCAAGTTTAAAGCAGCAAAAAAATAACATGGAAAGTCAATGCACATATTGAACAAAATATACTTTCGAAAAAATGGACTTACGTATTTTCTAAAATTGTCCTCTGTGGCGACGTATGCAGCAAAACACACCATAGGGACAAATGCTGTGCCACGACCGCCGTACATGATATGAAAGTAGTAAATTTTTCCTCGTTAAACGGGGTCGCAGCATTAATATCCATACTAACAGGGTGTGCATTGAATATGATAAGTAATATTTACGTGACCTAGACCCTGCTGAGTCACTGAAACTTTTCCAGGGGAAAGTGTGAAATAAAATTGGTCCACCGAGCTATATACGAGTGTGTTACCAGTGGTTGATCTGCAGATATGAAAGCATGAGCTTCAGGCATCATTCAAATTACCGTCATAATCCTACGTAGTTAAACCACAGTGTATCCTAACTCAGAAATATACAAGAATCAAGGTGAACTGAGTACAAATTTCAAGCGATGGGGTTTAAACGTTGTGAGTGAGACATTTTGTTTATAAAAATACTGCTAAATTGACACGCAAAACAAGCTGGATTTATACCGTCGTTCAAAATACGTTTTCCCTGGATGATTTTCTCAGCTTTCATTCTTTACTGCACTCGTGACTTTCTAGACCAGTGGAACCTGTTTGAAGTTTCTCATTCACAAGAAAAAAAAACATAACAGTCACATGTCATCTGTGTTAGACAGGGCTATTTTGGATGGTGCCCTTAGCTGTCAGCCCCATTAGGCCGATATAGCTCAGCCTGCATGTCCAAGTATGCGCCGGCCCTAACAACCGGACATTTTTTTTTTTTTTTTTTTTTTTGCTTTGTGATCTTATATTGGCTCGATCGTTATCCAGTACTTATATCCAAAGCAAAGTATATATAGAAGATATACAGCTTTCTTATATTTCTGAGGGTGCATTCACACGTAGACGGCATTTTGTGGCAAAATAGTCAGCAGTTGTATTTTGTAGCAAAATATTGCAGCAGTTGTTTGGTATGGTGTGGACACCCATGTAGTAATACCTGTAAATTGTTTTCTTTAAATTAACTTTATTTCTAACAAATTGTATTTTGTTATGTAGTAAATCGCCACTCCATTATTTTTTCTTCACTCATGTCAAATCATGTTCCTCTCTTATAAATAAGGTTTCAGACCATTTCAATTTACAGCGGTTTGAATTGTCAGAGTTTCAAAAAAAGGAAAAAGTAACATTTCCTCTTCTCGTTAAACTTTTAGATTCGTCTTGGTAGCATACATTTGATAAAAATAAAAATAGAAGAAAGAAAAAAGGCTATTGAATAAACAAAGGCGCACTCCTAAGATAGCTCAAATCAAAGTTTATATGTAATTTGCACCTATGTCGTTGAGTGAAATATCGTTATCAGTTTTCACACCGACATCCACTTTCTGCTGTCCACAAAAACACCACTGTTTCTCCGGAACTGTGTCTTCCAGGGGTTTGTCACGTGTTTCCTCCATGAATATCGTCACCACACCAGAGAGAAGTGCAAATGTTCCGCTCAAAACGAAGGGAAACGCATCCCAGTATTTTGTCTAAAAATTGACGAAAAAAATAAACAATGAAATAATGTTAGATAGATAGTGAGATTAAAACTCTTAAAAATACAAGGCAGTTCTTCGATATACGAAATACAAGCATATTTGAAGTAGTCAACTGGGATATGGATCCAAAATTGAACATGTTTAAAATGGCAGAAGATTTGCGGTAATTTAGTGAACTTTTAAATTAGTTTTTCAGTCTTTTTGTGAAACGGGGCGCATAACGTACCAGGTATGCCATCAGGGGGGCTAATATGGCGGCAATCCTTGCTGTCATTGAAGAAAATCCTAGGCCTATATTTCTGAAAATTAATACAAAATCAAAAGTAGAGCTTCAACAATGAAAACCCATTTGTTCTATCAAAATGTTTTTATGACATCTTTTGCATTAAGTGTGCTCTTGTACATTTTTCATGCATGCACTGATGGTATATATTATTATTTATCTATAGTTTCTGAGCATTTTTGTCTTGGGGCATCTGTTTTCATATATAACTATATAAATCAAAGTCAGTAGCATAGAAGATATGGAATTATTTTAACGAATTACATGACTCATAACTCATATGGTGCAATTTCATGAAATGCCAACAGGTCAAACCTTATCGGTGTCGGGTATTGCTCTGAAGTCAGTATATACAGGGCATACCAGCCTACGCTCACAGCCGTGGTGGCCAAAGAGGTCAAGATGGATATAACTAACCATAACTGGGCATACAGACCTACAAAATAAGCTTTTGGTAAATAAATGTGTGTACATTTAAATGGATGATATTCACTGTGTGGGTTTTGTCAAGAGAGAAAAATGCTAAAGGCTCTAGCGTAGGCTAGTTGATTTCAAATTGTCTTAGGCGACATTAGTAATTTGTCAGGTTCATAATAATTTGTGTTTACACTTCGAATTACTTTTACATATTTAGGCAAGTTACCTAATAGGAAAAGTGTGAAAATTGGTATCACGCAGATGAATCCAAAGAATAAACCCACTGTGGTGATTATCCTTCGCCCAAATCTAGAAGAAAAAAATACAATTTTTACCTAGTGCATGGACTGTGTCCATAAAAGAAGAGGGAACTAGACAAAAATGAAATTAATTTTGAATTTCAATGTGTAAGTATCACTCCTGCTACCCCTTAATGTAGTGACATGGTCTGATAGCCAGCGCACAGAATATATACTGTACCTAGAGAGGTCTAAATCTCAAAATATGACATGTACACTTGCTCTAAATATCAAGTAAGTTTGGTATTTACCTTTTAAAATCCCCGCCAAACGAGACATAGATATCAAACATTGTGCGCATTTGTTAAGTTCTCACCTCAGATGTACACATACTAAGGATTAATAATAACAAGAGGTGTTTGTGTCATAGGTCTGTTTATTGGTTGGACAAGGTTGGTTACCGACCGCCAGACGGACCGACATGAAAAGTGCAATATATCCCTACTTTTTCTTTCGCGGGAAGGGGGAGTGTGTGCATCATATCAACGACATTTTGGACAGAAATTTCAAAAGTTGAATAAACACCCTTCTACACTGTATACGTTTCCACTCTTGTGCAAGTTTAAACGTGATGCTCATACATGGATCTCCAAAATATCCATGGCTTGTAGGGGTCACATTAACAGATTCATTCTTACCCAAATGTGCATTACTCGCGGCTTAAAGACTGTCATTAAAACCCTACTGAATAAAGAGTATATGCAAGGCCTCACAACTGACAACTAGGTTCCCCCTCAATGCGCCGACCACGTCAATGTACTCAAATTCACATTTAATATATTTATGTCGTCTGCCTGGTGTGTAATGGAAGGGGTTTATGTCTTGGGTGTAAGTTGCTATGCCTGTGCACACATGTTTAGGAATAAGACAGAAAGAAAACATGAGAAGCTGTTCAAAGATTTTCTGGATCTTATTTTTCTTGCTGATCCTGAGCGGACCCGTTTTGTCGTTTCTTGTGCAGTCACCGGTTTTATTGTATTGGATTGCAGTTTCCTACTATGTAATTATAATCATATTACTAAGTGTCGTTCTCCTGAGGTATATACTGAAAAAGGATCGGGATAAGTGCAAGGTATTGGCGCTTTGTACTGGAGTATTCTTGTGGACATTTACACTGACGTGTGGCTTCTTTCTTTGGACGCTGATTCGAACTCTTCCTGCAGAGGCAACCAGGTTTCTCATCATCTCAGTTGGTGGGTTTGTTATTCTGTTGCTGATCCTAATAGCTATCTGTGGCTGTATAGCTTACAATGGTCAAAAGTTACGACTGCAGACATGTTGTAACTCACGATGCCATTTGCCTTCCACAACCTGCCCCTGCATTAATACGAGGAAAAAGAAAAAAATGGCAGCACAAATGGAAGGCGAAGGATTAGTATGGACATCTTTTAATGAGCCGATAGATACAGCAAAGGTGTTATTTGAATATCGAAAGCCATCCGATACTCCGTCGCTGGCCAGTTCATACTTGGACTTACGCATCATTGATGAATTGTATGTGAGAGAGTTTGCTAGCAGGAACGGCGACTTAGCTACAGGAGCAGAACCTTCTCTTAGCTTCTGCCCCGATTGCAAACATCCTTACAGTGCTTTATCGTCCCCACCACTAGACCAAAGTGTGAGGGAAAGGGGACCGTGTTCGGACAATAGTTTTAACAGTGCCAAGGCATATCGCAACGGGTGTAATCTTTCACTTGTTCTCTCGCCGGTGTCGTTTGATTCGGAAACAGGTGTTAATTCAAATCACACTGGTTATAAAGGTAGGCAAATTGGGCAAGAGGGTGACAGGGAATTTCAGAAGGGTGTCTTTTCCGACTATGAGCGCGCCAACAATGAGAAGCCTGACTCCCAAACGGCAGCCGGGGAAGATTCTGGGATTTTCTTATCAGATCAATTTCTGGGTTCTCTCTCCTCGTCCAACGTTTGTCGTAGCAACAGTTTTAATCCACAAAGCGTAGACACTGCACGTGTCAGTAACAACTTAAACAACTGCACCGCCTACCACTCCGACCCTGCCTTACACACAGTTGTCCAGGGCTGTGCGACAATTGCTACGATAGATGGCGTTGAGATGGGGTTTTACCACGTCAGTTCGAGCAAGCAAAGCAGCGAAGACGATGTGAACGCCCAGCAGGAAAATCACTACGAAACGGTCATCTACCATCCAAGCACAGTCAGTACAAATAGCGTCCATGCAGATACTTATTCTAAGGACTTAAGTATCCAAGACAAGGCAAAGGACAAAGTTAGCTCAAACAAGGATGGAATCAAGGGTCCGACATCAAAAACTAACAATAGTGAAACCCAGTGTCCTGCAGAGACAGATGGTAGTGAGCGCCACGACTGCGAAACAACGGAGAAACATATTATAGCCCACCCGAGTAGTTACACCAACTTAAGTGTGTTCAACGCCATCTTTAAACCACAAAAAGGCGATGTACCCAATAACAACACTTGGCCCTTAAGTAGAGCCAGGAGAAAGTACTCTGTCGAGTCGTACTCATATTGTGAACCTTTTGAGCACACTCATTTCGATGATTCGGAAACGTACGTTTGAAAGATGTGAATTTGAGACATTGCCTAATGTTTTTGGAGCATTTTATTACAATTAATTTTGCTCACTGTTATACATCAATTTAATCTCAGTTTCTTAAATCATTATCATAATTGTTATACAGTGTATATATTTAACTGACGATCTTAATATCTGTATTTATCACTGTATTTTTCTCTAAAATGTCTGTACATAATACAATATTTTACAATTCAATTAAGACTTTACCTTAGCAACCGAATCCATATAAAAATTTTACCAGATTTAAAATTAAAAATGATAATATTAGTAAGAAGGTCGTCGATGGGTGTAAGCTCTTCTTAGCACAATGCAATTTTATATGCAAAGGTATTGTATATTGATTTTTTAAAATCTTACAATTGACTGAACTCATGGACATTTCGCAATATATATGCGCTGTATTTTTGAGAAGCAACGAGTGTAGGTTTTGTGTGGTTATGTATAGGCGAACGAAGAAAATGAAATTCTGTAGAAATGGGATTCAATCGCCGTAGTGAAACATCTTGCAGCAGTGCTCTAGAGGCATTTTATCCCGTGATCAATGCTTAGCACGAATGTACATATACCGGATTTCACTAATTTTTTTTACGATTTATGCAGTAAGATATTTTAATTGGCTTCTTACAATGCGTATTTATAGCAAAAGTCGCTTTAATTAGATGCACTTAATTTTTCTGATTTTCCTTTAAATATAATGCAGTACGATTAAAGGAGCTCACCTTCTCAGAGAAAGGTAACTTATCACTGCCGATGCATAGGAGACACCAAAGTTAATAGCCATGTTTGTGTATCTGTCTCCAGGTAAATTTTTCAAGTTGAAAAACACCCCATAGTTGAACAAACTCATACTGAACCTGAAATGAGGAAACAGGTAAATCAGTGGGGATCTGTAATGCAATAATCAGAATATCCCAGTTTAAATAAAGATTGAAACATCAATATTCATGCATATACATGCAAGAGTTATGGACACAAAGGTAGCTTAAACCAATTCAACACCACAGAACGTTTCGTTAGAAATGCACTTTTTTTCAAATTTATTTGGATAAATACGAAAGACCTACCAAACAAACATATTCTTCAGCGTAACCACGGTTAAGTCCGGTGAACGGAAAAGATCCCAAAAGCCAAATCTAGTCTCATGGTTTTCCATTGCCCTTTCTTTCTGAAGAAAAAATAATAAAGATGAGGATATTATTCTGAATAAGTGTGCCTCTCTTTTAAGCTATTTAGAGCGCTAGGTTAAAAATTAAAACGGATCAAAATCAGAAAAGGGTTCATGGAAGGAGATTCCTGATGTTAGATCTGGAGTAACCATATGAAGCTCTACTCCTCACTTCATGTTGTTTTATAAATAAGTCCATGTCAGGGAGTTTCTTATTGTTTCTTTTGGCTATCCTCGTTGCTATGGTGACGACCTCATCGTACCGTCCTCTTGACAACAGCCACCGGGGGCTCTCTGGGAGAACCCTGTGAATAAAGACAACATTGTCAAAAAAATCTCAGAATGTTCTCTCCATAGGGTTATCCGTATCAACATAAATATTAATATGTACAAAGGTCTAAAGTATCCCTTTAATTTGCTATTGGGGTGGGTTGATTTATATTCTCAAGTTTTAAGGTTATTACCAAACTAAAATGAAGTAAATATAGATAGTATAGATATATAGGAAATGAGAGAGAGAGAGAACATAATCTTAAGTAGGAATCTAACAAAAGAAATGCAATATTATTCTAATGGTTTACCACCAAGTTCCAAGCAGCAAGAATCCAGGGAAGGGCGTGATCAGTTGAACAGTCCTCCAGTCACGAATGAAGTAAGCGATTGCCAGGAAAATCAAAGAAGCCATTGGCCAGATTCCCAGAACTATCACCACGGGGCGGTATTTGGGACCCAAAAACTCAATGCTCCAGGTGAAACCTGTGACTAAACACCCTGCTCGGGATATTGGAAATAAATTAGGATCAATATCGAGTTTCATTATATAATTCTTGCATATAAATAATGCATAAAGTTCGTATATCATGTATTTTTATCTTATATATCACAACACAAGCATGTTTTCATAATTATCGCTTATAGTAAGTACAATGTATATTTTGTATCTCTCTATAGAAATTTCGAGTACATGTTCAAGTATTCGCACCTCCTATTCCAATACCGTTAAAGAAGCGCAGTACAGCAAACTGGTACCACGCAGTGGTAAAGTATTGGCCCAGAGCCATCGAACTGGTCAGAAGTATGGCAGCGAAGTAGGCCTAAAATAGGAATATTCATCATATTGTATTTTTTATGATATCACGTTCACCAGACAAGTCAGAAGTACTACATTGTACTGCCACTTTCTCTACTGATGAACATATTTTGCAACGATATCAGTGAAGCATGCGTGAATTGGAAATTGTAGATTGTGGACTTTGTTTACTATTATCTAATAGTTTTTTATTTGACTAACCTTTTTTCTTCCTAACGTATCACCAATCTGGCCAAACAGCAAACATCCCGCGAGCACTCCCGCCATCTGCAGGGAGGAGATGGTGTCACTGATGAAATCATTATCGCATACCAAGTCCCACTGTAAAATATTCACTGAGTATTAATGACCTAGCAACTTAAAACGTTATCATTTGTTTCATTTTTGCGGTTACGTAACATTTACGGCTAAACTCGTTAACCTGCCTTAAATTGAATTAAAAACTGAGTGTAAATAAATATCGGATTGTTATGTTTAAAACGCTTGGTTTATGGAAATTTATTTTACCGCTACTCGGTACTTCTCAACAGAACCTGAATGAAAGGGGCGAGTTTCAGAAATGAACTTTAGCTTGAAAATTGATCTAAACTTTTACATCAAATTGTGCCCTAGTCCGGTTCAAGATAAATCCATAGATGTTCTGGTCTTTAACATTTGTCATGTATTTTTTTTACATAACAGGCAGGCGCATTATTTCATTTAATTGAACTACTACTGACTTCTCCCAGAGTCAAAGCAGGCTACACTTTTTGTCTAAATACGTATTCTCCAGGACAAAGTTCTTGTGTGGCTATACCGCAGCCCCTTAAAATTCGCAAGTGAAAACTTAGAGGCAATAACTAAAGAGGGTTAATCTGGTTAACACAGTACGGTTCTGACCTCGGTGACAATTGATGTAAATTCTGTGTTGAAATCATAGTTGCTGCACATGCCACACTGACTGTTATTTTCTGCGGAGAAGGTGTCCGACCCATTGCTAATATCTAGTGTTTTCAGTGTAGAAAACAATTGTGGCCCACTCGTGGTAGTATTTCCATTCTGTACGTTTTCACTGCATGTCCACCCCGGATCAGCTCCAATGAAGATCAAGACCAACATAGACCAGCAAGAGTTAACTTCATGGAGACTGATTAACAAAGCGAGAGCAAATTGGTACCAGCCAATTTGACCTGCAAAATAAAGCGTTAAACAAAGTTAAATGTGGCGCTGCTTTAAATGCGTTGCGTCTTCTGGCACTAAAAGTTGGTTACTAACACACTCCGATGTCCAGCATGTCGCTTTTTATCACCTAAGCTTGTCGTCTTATTACATAAAATGTAATTAGGGGAAAAAGATAGAGGAAAAAACTACACCTTTAAAACGTTCTAGGGTGACCATTGTGTAAAGTGACCAATGTGCTTTGTGTTTAAGAAAAAGAAAGGTTGATACTTAATAACTAAGCCAAACCACATTTGATGATATCTCATATCACAGACCACTCACCAATTTTCAGCAAAATGTCATCGAACTGCTGCATATTTGATGCTGTGTAATTGATGTCAAACCAAGGGGAACCTGACACTCGTAATACGTTGTGCGCACAATTACAAGTTCTACTTTGCGACCTTCACCAATCGTTTTATCTATCCTGAGGTGCATCTTGACAACAGTCTGACCGATTGAACATCTTTTTAGGACAATACATCGTGATAGACACCACACACATATTTACACTAATGAGATACTGGCAGCAGACAAGTTCAGCAGACAAATGTTCATTGATAGCAATAACTTGCACACTATACCCACTCTGATTTGACAAGTGTTACAATTGGATAAACGGTTAAAAGTGCATGAGATGAGATTTAAATTTTTTTTTTCTGAAAAAAATTAAGGGAATTATGCCACTGAAATATCACCAGGGAAGCAAAAATATTTGAATATTATAATGATTCTACGCAACTTATCTGTTTTCTGTTCGTTTATCAAGCGCAGATAAACTTATTTAGGTTATTCAGTACATAATTCATCTATACTCATAAATCAAGAAGCCTCTAGAAGAATTATGCGACCAATGGATAAGCTAACTATAAGGGATCAAAGTCACATTTTATCATTTTGCACAGTTTCTTCTGGATTGGAGTAAAAACATTCTGTTACCTTTTCGAAGTGATGTGGTTTCACATACAGGGCAAACACAGCGAGAGATCAGTTTTGCTTGATCAGTTGCGTAGTTGTTAGGTAATAGTATAATTAAATCTATGAGTAGGAATATACGTAATTGCGATAGTGGTGACACTTTTTTGGTAGCCGAGTAGAGTTATGTTTCTCCTTTATTAAGTTATTCATATTTCTTCATTTTGAACAAATGATCCGTGTTTTTGGTAATTCGTCTGTCGTTACTACTGTGCTGTTATAACAAGTAGAAAATGTGATTTTATACATTTTAACATGCACAACTAGTAGCATTTGCTATTATCATCCTGAACGCGTTTGATAGGAAGGAACTTGCTATACGTGGTTTGAATATTAATCAGGTTGAACTTTAAATGTCCACCTGGGTTTCTCGTTATGAGTGTTTGGTTTTGGTATTTGTAACTCACTCAGTGTGCGCATATTGCCAATAAATCTTGGTCTATAAGTTGTTATACGATAAAACGTAGTTATCTGTTTGTTTATTTATCTATTTATAACTCTATTTGGCAGAGGTATCGGTTCATTACATTTTCTGTGGCTGATTGGCATAAAAACCGCAGTTCCTTTGGTATTTTTTGTCTTTTTTTAGCTCATCTTGCAGTGGATGGGCTCAAAAATTAAAATGCAATAGAATAAAAAACTATAGATTGGAATTTAAAAGAGAGAGGTACAGTTATGAGATATAAACAAGACAACGTCACCACCAATAGGGATGGATTTTTTATATGGCGCCTCTAAAGGACGGAATACATTATAACTCTGCATTTAATTTTCTGATACTTAGAGTCGAGTAAAAGTGTCTGATATTCATGAATTCACTAAAGCCCCCTTTACACTGGATGGCGTCCTTTCTGCGTCCAGCAGTACGGCCCCATTTGAGAGTTAAAAAATTATAATACTTTACGTGCCGACAACTGGTGGATCATTGAGCATTCATTCTGATACAAAATCAATGCTCGTGCCTCCTTATTAAGACCACAGCAATGCCAAATTTCATGGTCGCAGAAAGGACGCAGAAAGGACGCCGTCCAGTGTCAAGGGGGTATAAAGCATCTACCACATAAGTTCTCTGTCCCTCCTTATATAAAGGTTGTTCGTCACCTTTTTGCTGTGTAAATATTCACCGCTCACCTTTCACACTAAGACATTGGTTTTCTGTTTGCTTGGAGTCAGTTGGTAGAGATTACCATGATGTAGATAGCCATGCGCCGACTGTGTGTATTTGTAAACCGTCAAAATATGTAGGTCAGTGGGGCGTCTTCCGATAATTCTTACATTTTATATATATTTGTGTTAGTAGTGTTGCCACCTCTTTGCCTGAGGTCACAGCTTATGGAAAATGGCTCAGTTTGATGACTTACTATTAGAAGTTGGTAAGTTGAATGCTTTTTGTAGACATGGTTGCTGTAGAGTTATTTTAAGCATAACACTAATGTACTAGTGGTGCACATCATTCAGGATTAATATTAGTTTTAAAAATTAAGTTTTCCAGTCATTCATCAGATATCAAAGTACATCTCAAAGATGGCATATATACGATGTAGAAATGTCGCTTTCGCTAATTTTTTATATATATATAGATAACAATAAATAAATAAAATAGAAAAATAAAAACAATGATATAAACATATTATAACTTGCATGGCTTTTTTACAAGCCACGTATCAGGCCTACCCAACTACCAGACTCGGCACCGAATGATCCTGAATTCACCGGTATATCGGACCACACTACCCGTTTTCAAGGTGAGTCAGTACGCAATTATTACTAGAACCACAGAACGCAAGACTAAAATCTTTTGGCGAAAAATCATTCCAGTACGCAGCACCACATGAGTGAAATAAATTACCTCTAGACTTGAGAAGCATTAGCTCAGTGAAGGATTTTAAAAAAGCTAAAAACATACCTTTTTCACAAATTTTATTAAAGAACATTTTATAACTCGGAAATATTAACTGGACATCATTATCTTAACTCAGACTATTAAGTCATAATTTTATTAATTCAATTCATCTTACTGTGTTTTAAGTTTTTAGTTTGTAAAGTCTACAGAACATATTTTATGGATTTTAGACTTTAAATAAATATATTATTATTATTATTATTATATTATTATTTCACAGTTTCATACCCCGGACAAATTTTGAGTGGTGATGCAATACTTTTCAACCCCGCTGAGAATCGTCACTATCACATCGCGTACTAGGCAAGAGCGGTGTCGCGTCTGATACTGTGAAATGCGTACTGATACACACCTTGAAAACGGGTAGTGTGGTCCGATCTACCGGTGAATTCAGGATCATTCGGTGCCGAGTCTGGTAGTTGGGTAGGCCTGCATATGACATTTTCGTGAATTTACATTTGTAATTTGAACGTAAATTTAAGCCAGTGAATTCTTATGGGTTGCCTCACATCAAGGTAATGTTGTGGGTTTTTTTCAGGAGAAATCGGCTGGTACCAAATTGCCCTGACTCTAATCATTGGCATAGGATGGGAGCTCAGTGCAGCGTGGACTATGATGATTATGATATTTATTGGGACTGACCCCGGTTGGATTTGTGCTGACAATACCACGATCGGGAATGACTCATCAACTATCGCAACGCCGTCTCTACATTATACAGACAGCCCTCTATCAAACCTGTCCGCGCCCACAGTAAAGAAACCAGACGCATGTGACGTGTGCTCGAGCTATGAATTCAGCAAGGAATTCACCTCTATTGTGACAGAAGTAAATGATATACTATTTTTGCTATGAATACAGTCATCTAGATTTTCCCAGAAAAGAAGGATTTCTCAACTTAAAGTTTTGCCTGCCTCTGTACTTTTCCCCCTGGATAATGAACTCCTCCTCCTCCCCTTACAGTAACCTGGTAAAATTTACACTTATCCCACAGACATAATCAAAACCTTTATAGCGTTACGCTACCATAAAATTTTAGGTTATATAACATTATGGTAATATTTTTAAAATAACCATCTGTGTGCTGGGTATTATCCACTGACTTTGTCTTGACATAACTTATAAATAATCAATGTCAATTAGATTGTGTGATACAGTAGATAAAAACTATATGTATTCAAAGTCGTATTTTAAGGGGTTGCATTTTCCTTTCCTTCTCTGCAAGAATGGCACCCAGTTGAATGTTCAAAATCTTTTCTTTGTTTTCCTTCAAGATCTGAAGTTTTTAAGGTGAAAAATATATCTTCAAATTTCAGTGGGAATTGGTTTGTGAGCATGGCTTCATTAGTGACACAATCACGTCGGTTCAAATGGCGGGTGTGTTTGTCGGATCTCTACTATTTGGGCAGCTGAGTGATTTGTTTGGGAGAAAGAAGGTAATAATACATGTTTAATACAATACCCTTAAACTTAGAGAAAAATGTCTTGAAATCTACCTTCCCCTGCTTTAAGCCGTATCAGTCAGTTGCTAGCTACTTTCGCAAATCATAGAGAAAATACTATGTATTGTGAGGATGTAAAAAGAAAAGAATACATTAAAATCCCGAACGTAAAAGCGTCACTGCTGTATGATGAACGAAATACATGTATTTCAGCCGCACTTCTTGGCTATTGTCGGTGGAAGCATCATTGGCGTGGCCCAGGCATTTGCTACAAGCTGGGTAGTTTTTGCAGTTTGTCGCTTTTGCAGTGGGGTCTTTACTGCAGGTAAAGTAGTAGTATTGTTCAATCTCCTTCAGAGAAAAAGACACGATTTAGATACTACTTTATATATATATATATATATATATATATATATATATATATATATATATATATATTAGGATAGGGAGGAGTCAAATCAAACTGAACGATGAAAGGTGTAAATAAATGCTGTGCGTGTGTGCGGGCACGTGTTTATGTTCGCGAGCGTTTGTGTGTTATCAAATGGTTGATTTAATAAAATATAGCTTGTATTTTTCTAAGGAACCATTGTCGTTGGTGGGTTGTATGGGATCGAATACCTGGGTCCTAAATACCGTCATATCCCTATGACGTTTGGGTTATGGACGAGTTTTTCGTTGCTCTTATTGGCGTTTGCATACTTTATCCGCAACTGGCGCCATCTGCTTTTGGTTGCCTCTGCACCTGGTCTTGCTGTTGTTGCAAGTTGGTGGTAAGGGTAATTTTATCATGCATGAATATCAGTCAGGATCAGGAGAAAACATTCTGCGATGTGATTAATTTTATTTTCCGTAAAAGTGTCTACATAAAAATTTATGTTTAAAACATTAATTTGTTGGCAGTTTTAATATACTCGTAAATACCCAAATATACCCGTAAGTACACATAAATCGTCAATGTATGTAATCCTCAAACCAATTTGGGTCAGATACCTTTGACATACTATAATGCAAGATGAAAGAAAAACTACTCTTGGAATCGGTTTTCGTTTTTCATATAGGTTCCTACCCGAGAGTCCTCGATGGCTTCTTAGTCAGGGGCGCTATAAAGAGGTCACGAGCATCGTAAAGAGAATTGCCAAGAGCAACAAAAAACCTGAGCCGGATATGGGAAAATTCATTAAAGAATATGAAGTTGGTTTCCTTTCTTAAATAATAATAAATGTTTTAATTCTGAATTATATTTTATGTGGTAAACAAACCATTTAAAAATACCCGTTACAGCAAGGAAATGGTTTGGCATGTAACATATGTACACTTAATCATTGTTTATTAACAATATGTGTGTGAAGATGTTTTGAAATAGGGTTTAAAGGAAGCATTCATTTTTCTACTTTGCAGAATGAAAGCAAATATCGCATTGCAATATTTGCTTGAATGCATGATCATTTTGTTAATTAAATATGGATACTATATTATCAGAGTCAGACGCCGAATGCTGAACACGGGGTGAAGTATGGCTATTGGGACCTCTTCCGTACACCCACCCTAGCTAAGCAAACCCTCATCTTCTGCTTTTCATGGTCAGTGATTCTTTCACGTTATTAGCATGTAGAACGTAACTTGACTTGTCGCTTCTTCTTCTTCTTCTTCTTCAAAAAAAAAAATAGATTTGAATATGACATCACCGTAATATCTTCACTGCTTGTTCATCTGGACATTTTAGGCATCAGGATTCGGGAGAGGGGGGGGGGTACTGGTAGATCTATCCCTAAGATATCCATTGTAACATTTAAGAGTTTTTTTCATTTTGCCCTCCTGGGATTCCATACTTTAAAGCATTTTGCTTGTCTGGTGTTTGATTACTATATCGAATCTATAGCAAGACACAGCCCTGTTTATGTTTTGAACAGCTTCCATACTGGTTTGGTTCCTATCTATCATGTACGGGCGAACTTATAAGCGTTTCTGAAGATTATTTTATTTCGTTCTCTTTTAGGTTTTGCATGAGCCTGATTTCGTACGGTGCTGTATTCAACGTAAAGAATTTACCTGGCAATAAATTTGTCAACATGGCAGTGAATTTTGCTATTGGTTATTTTCTGCCCATTGCTCTTCTTGGTCTTCCCAGGTGGTACGTACGATAAATACTTTTCCATAATTTGCGCGTCGTATAAAAACAATTTGTGCATTTTTACGTATTTGAAAAAAAATACAGCATATGTTATGCAGTTTACCTGGATTTTTTCTCCAAAATGGTTCGTTTGTTTTTTATCTGGTCACTATAATTTTAACTTTAGGTTTGGGCGCAAGACAATTACTATCGCAAGTTTTCTTATAGCAGCTGTCAGCTTTATACCAATCCTGGTGATATATATCATTGGTATGCACTTTTTTCTTCTCCATTGTAAATATGTGTATGTATGCATTGTTCTCTCGGACAAAGTATCTGTAAACTGATTAAAAAGGTTGAAAACGACGAAAAAGCAATATAAAAATATGTTTGGGTGTGTATTATAATATAACTAAATCATATATTTTTAAACCGTGTTCTAGATTAACACAAGTCTTTCAAACGTACCAAAACGCCCTGTTCGCAATTCCACCGTTCCATCAACTCGCGAAATCTTTACCATGTATTTCTCACTCGTCTTGTTAAGGCAAATCTGAAGAGCTATGGGTATTGATAATTGTATTGACTACAATTGGAACAACAGCAGTGGGCATGGCTTGGCAGGTGTTTGTGTTACTCAAACTGGAAACCTATCCAACTGCAATAAGGTAAGATAAGTATACTGTATTCACAAGAAGCATTTCTGGTGGTCAAATGTGTCTGAAACTAGTGATTTATTATGCCATGGCCACTATAGAATGTGTATACACTTTTTAAAGTCTATACACACTTAGCTGAGCATAAGATATATCTAACTGCTAAGTGAATTTTAACGTGAATTTTAACATGGTCATGTACTGATGGATAACTTTATCATTAGGAACATCGGAATTGGTTTCTCATCGATGTTTGCGCGCATTGGAGGAATTCTGGCTCCCCAGATGGCTTATTTTGTAAGTATCTAGATTTATATTATAAGGGTTATATTTGTCATAAAAAACTTTGAAGATATGGCTGTAGATAACTTGAAATTTACAATCAATGAAGAAATGACAGTGTATCTAAGATATGATAAGTCACGAGGAGGTAGAGAAAGAGAGACTTAAAACTATTTTTTTCTGTATTTTCTTTCAGAGCACGTTTTGGAAACCAATTCCATTTGTGATAAGTGGTATCCTCGCTGTGGCTTGTGCTGTTGTCACTTACCTGTTGAAGGAAACGAAAAATAAAGTCTTGATAGATACAGTCCCTGACAGAGAGTGGTGCCTCTGTTGTAGCAGAAATAATATGGACGATACCAGAAATGACGCAAATGAACTCGTCTCAAAAGTTTCAAGTGTGTAAAACGTACATAAAAGCGAAGCTACGAGGGTAATTAACTGTGGTGGAACTTTTTATTTAACTGCAGCAGTATTTCATTGCCTTGTCTGTCGACACCATTTTTGTTGCGCAGCTATACGAAGTCATCAATTACAAAGTCATCTTCATGTTACACTGAAATGACATGCTCTGTTTAAAATGCATTGATGTCACTTTGAAAAAGATTCACTGTTAAAGAAAGGTGATACTCTAGCGCCACACGTTCATCTCTGATGTCTTCACCTGTAATGATACGTTTGGTTTGTACAATGGCGCAGTTTTTTATTAGTGGTAAAACATAGTTGTACACACAGGCTAATGGAAACTCATCTGTACTGATAATGCATATATTTACAGTGTCAAAAAGCAGAGTTTAAACAGAGAGAAATCGCATACGACTGTTTATGTAAAGTTCGGTGGACACATGTACCGAATGTTATCACATGAAAATATTTTATCGCTGAGTGACATCGATATTATCATTGAAATAACATTTTAATGCACTTGGGCAATAGTAAATTCTATGATTGATAAAGGTACTCGACTCGGTAAACATAAATATCTTCTTTTCCTTATACAGCAGAAAAATGTTTCATGAGAACTGCATGTAGTTAGATCGTATGCTTTTAAACCGCGCACTGCTGAAAGGGATTCTATGTCATTAGCGGCAAACGTTAATGGACGTGTGCATATGTTATCAATTACCTCTTCTTTAAACCCCGACTTAAGGATATTGTAACCCTTTATTATCACCCAGATACCGAAAATGACTTTTTTCCTGCATCGCATTATCCAATAATGCATAGATCTATCTTTGTGCTGATTTAAAACAATGAAAAACTCGAAAATATAAAATATTGGCGTTTATATTTTCTCGTTGCAATGTTTAAGTATAGGCAACGCAAAACTTTAATCGTCTATGTAACACCTTTTTTATTTTGAGGTGAGATAGCAATCGGTATGGGGCGTAACTTCATCCCTGAACAAGATTCTGTTATCACGAAAACTGACTTAATGGACTGGAAGTGCATGAGCTACAATCCCGCGCTAGCGTTTTGGTTTAAATGCTTTTGTTATGGAATTATGAACCCGTAATTACAGGTTTTCATTAAACAAAGATATTATTTGGCTTTACCAACGATAAAATCTTAACTAAGACCTTCAGAAAAAATTGCTGGCGGGGCTTTGGAGTACTGAATGTTGTCATTAAAATGGCGTTGAAACGGTAATCATGGGGGTTCAGATATAAGAGATATTTGAGAAACCGATTTTTCCGTTTTTACCCCAAAATCGCAATTGTTACGTCACCTGTAAGACGGCATGTGTAAATGTTACTTAATTTAGTCACTGATCACTGAATATGTATTTAATACCCAAAAGAATTTATGTAAGGCAGTAAATAAGAAGTATGGGGCGAAGGGTGACCATATCCTTAACAGGGTCTATGACTGGGTTCCCATACCTAGATCCATCCATCTGGATCAGTCTAACTCCCTGGGAAGTGTCACTAAATTGCTATCAACTAACCGGCTTAAATGTCTGTCACGCCTACCGAATCAGCTAGGGGGTAAAGATAATTACCCTCTAACAGCTTTACTAGGCATGACATACATTTAAACTATTAGTGCAGCAGCAGCACCACCACCACCAGCAGCAGCAGTTAAGATGCTGAGAAGTTCTCTTCTTCTCCCCCATCATGTAATGATTTTAAGGATACCTTGGTACTTCATGTGCCTTCATGTGCCAGATTAAGAACATTGTCATTGGCAAAGAAAGCAGGAAAATTACTTTGGACGTGTAGATTTCTAAACTTTCGTTTTCATATTATTTATTGTGAGTAACTTGTCATTCAAACTCGAGAAAGCGAATTTTCAGTTTTGGGTAAATGCTGTTTCGTGTTATTAAAAGTTTGAGAAGCGGCTTGTTTTCATTGTTGTCTGATCCGTGGTGGGCGCTAGGACCCAATAAACAGATACTGGGCCCTTATTAGCTAGCGAGTAACGGGGGTGCAACAGACCGTGAAACGCACTCGTACAGGACGCGCTTTTATTTCGAATACAGCACGGTCGAGTCTTTTTTCTACGCTCTAGGCGTGGTTCAAGCCTGTATCTGGCATTAGTATCTATTATTAGACTGGTTTATATTGCACTCGATACCCGGACCTCAAACATTATATCAGTAGCAAGGTAAACATTTTATCATGAATGAAGGGACCTCTTACAGTCGTCACTTTAAGGTTTACATTCTAGGTCGTACGCATACTACTGTCCCGTGTGATCCCAAATGGCTCAGTTTGACGACTTACTGCTCGAAGTCGGTAAGCGAACTTAATGCAATAGATGAATTATTGCCTTGGCGGACGCCTATTTTATTGTGATTTTTAAACTTATTTAGTTTAACATATTCATATTTGCGTAAGAGTTAAGATATGTAAGGAGGGATGCTTGTGATTTGGGTTTTTTTACGATTTTTCGAGTCCGAGCGTTAGATATATTATTTACGTGAAACTCTAATTTCATCTTTGCTTGTCTGGACAGTGAATTTATTAAAATATCTGATTACAAGGGACCCTTAATTGCTGTACAATAAGAGATACGCGTAGTTGTACACAGGCTGCACTACATGTACCGGTATGTATGTACCATGTCCTGTGCGACGCAATGTCATATCACCCCTCGGAAGTAGGAACTGTATGTAATCATAAGTGACCTGGCGTGAGATTATAGTGACACACATTTAAGATATCATTTCATACTGGGTGTGTTTTCTACCTACCCAACATATAAAAACTGTGAATTTACCTTATGCTGACTGAGATCTAAACAATTATAACTTTAATGCCCAATAAAACAGCGGCATGATATATATATTTCAGGGGAAATCGGATGGTACCAACTAGCTGTATCTGTGATCATTTTCCTAGGATGGTCAGGGTTTGGAGCATTTTCAATGATGATATTGATGTTTATCGGAATTGATCCAGGGTGGACATGCGCTGACAGGTCTTATGATAACGTTACAGCAAACTGGAACAGTTCATATAGTTCCCATCTAACCACTGAGAGCTCGGCAATGAATTCGACTGGTCAAGACGTGCCAGTCGATACCACAGACCTTTGCAAAGAATGTTCGAGCTATGACTTCAAAGGAGAATACAGTTCCATTGTGACTGAAGTAGGTATAAGTATGTCACTGAGAAAAAAAAATTGAAAAATAATCCGACATAGTAAAAATCGTCACTGTTGGCACAGCTTGACTTCATGCAAGACAAGACAAAACCCGATAATCAGATAATGTTAAGTGTTATATTTAGACTGAGAGTTCGTCTTACAGAGAGAGACAAAAGTGAGACGTAAAAGTGAATCTTTACTCCTGTCCAACTGACTGTAGCTCGATAGAACATAACAGGAAAAGATTAGAGCTATATGATTCGAACTTTTTGTTTGTTTTTAGTTGTTACTACATCGCGCCCTCGATCGTTATTCTTAGTCTGTCATTATACCTGACCCCAGTCACACACACAAACTCCACCTTACATTATGCTTATTTGCAAGTTTAAGCTATCTCGGATGATTCTCACTTAATCACTTTTTTACGCAAAAATCATCAAACGAGGACATCATTCTCTTTTGAGAATTTTACTTTCGTATCGTCCTAAACGGTTTCTTCTGACGCGCTGATTTTGATGAACTTCTTGGTGAGATCGAAATGTCTATATGTGAATACATAAGTTTTCTTTATTTGATGAATGCATGTAAATGGAGTATAATTGTTTATTTTCAGTGGGAGTTGGTTTGCAACAAGGCCTTTATAAGTGACACTATAACGTCTGTACAAATGGCAGGAGTGCTCGTGGGATATTTACTTTTTGGGCAGTTGAGCGATATGTATGGAAGAAAAAAGGCATGTCCGAATAAATTACGCTTATCTTTACATTGAAGTGGAACGCATTAGCCACAGCTTAAAGAGGTCTTATTTATTTTAGTCATTTTTTACGCCAGTTTCATGATCAATTCTCCGGTATCTTGTTTAATTTGTAAAAGATCTATAGGGGCCCCTAAATTAAAGGCATCTTAAATGTCGCTTTGAAGAACATAAATGCCATTCTTACATTGTATTTTTATCATGTCACTCTAGGCGTATTTTGTTGCTTTTACCTGTGGAATCTCAGTTGGTGTCGCTCAAGCATTCACGACAAGCTGGATTGTATTTGCTACCTGTCGCTTTGCCAGTGGGCTTTTTACTGGTGGTAAATTATATTTTTAAAAGAAATTCACGCATTTTTTCATTCTCTTTTGCGAGTGTAATAGGTCATGATGTATGTTGTATAGGTGTATACTAGTGATTTGGTTTAAGATAAAACGAACGTTGTAAGTAAAATAATTGACATTAATTATACAGATGCCGGGGGTACCTACAATTAAAGCGGGCAATTATTGTTTTTTTATGTTTTATTCTGATGTTAGGAACCATGGTGGTTGGCACTGTATATGGGCTGGAATACCTAGGTCCAAAGTATCGTCACATACTCACCACGCTCGGTTTTTGGCCGACTTTTTCGCTTGTCCTCCTGGCGATGGCCTACTACATCCACGACTGGCACCACCTTCTCTTGGCTACTTCCATACCTGGGTTTGCCTTCATAGCAGCTTGGTGGTAGGTATTGTCCTTACATGTAGGCTTATACTATTCTAAGTTACTGAGCACGTGCATTGCCTGAAAAAACTTAAATTTTGCACTAGTTGTCATTAAGGCCCTTATGTCTCAAAACTGAATTTCAGATTCATTTGTTTATAATACTTCTTTTTGGGCTCTTTCGTCATGATTGTACCGATGATTGATTGACTGACTCTTAGCTGTAACATTGACTTTTTGATTTATATTTAGGTATGAACCCGTGATAGAATTTAACATGGTCTTGAAAGTTGTTGTCCCGTTGCTATAAACAGGTTCTTACCCGAAAGTCCTCGATGGCTTCTTAGCAAGGGTCGTTTTGGTGAAGTATCAGAGATTGTGAAAAGAATTGCCAAAAGGAACAAAAAACCACAACCAGACATGGCTAAATTCATAATGGAATATAAGGTAGATTTATTTTGTGAGTTTTTCTTTTAATGTTGTAAGATAGTGGTTTTCTACAATGGAATGTCTCCATTATGTACATGATATAAAATAGATGTAGGCCTACAACCAGTGCCTGCATAGTTATGACATGTAGGCAAATATGGTTTTAGCATTATGCAGCAGACTAAAACATAATAAACATGTTAACATGAAATTTATTCTATTACCAGATTGAATCATCGAAAGTTGAACAAGGGGTTAAATATGGCTTCTGGGACCTCTTTCGCACACCCACTTTAACTAAACAAACCCTTATTTTCACAACTACATGGTAAGTCGTTTATCTATCACTTAATCTGCACTCTAAATTAGTGCAAGGAAGCGATAAAGAGACGTAATTTAAAAAAGAAAAGACATTGTGTAAGCTATTTACAAAAGTAGAAACTTACCACGGTGGCATATCAGGTGTCCCATGTGCTCGACTCAACGCATTACAGGCCTCAGTTTCACAAAAAAAAAAAAAAAAAAAAAAAAACAACTTAAGTCAGTTACCTGGCTTAGTTGTCTAGGATTGCCTTGAAAGTGATGTGACCATGTTGCCTTGGTAATTAAGTTCTTAGCCAGGGAACATAAGTTTTTTTGTGAAACCGGGGCCAGATGTGTGGACACCTATGTGCCGAGTTTTAATTTCAATAATTAAGTAAACTACACATTGTAGAATGAAATTTGTATCAGTCACTCACGCCTTCTGAAACTAAGCCTTAGATTTTCCTGTTTCTCTTTTTAGGTTTAGCATGAGCTTCATTTGGTATGGTATTGCATTCAATGTGAAAAATTTACCAGGCAACAGATTCGTAAATGCAGCTGTCAACTTCGCCACCGGTTATTTTAGGCCAATTCTCTTAATATTTTTACTCCGTTGGTGTGTATGATATAGTCAAGGTCACCAACTTTTTTTCGTATTTTACTTTACTGCTGTGTTGTTCATCTGTGTTTCATTCTAAGCAATATACATCATTTGTATTGCACCCAGACCTTGGTGGCACATGAATACAAGCAACAGATAAAAGCATTATCATTGTTATGTATAACAACGATTAAATTTCTCTCCTCATGTCCGACCATATTTTACGTTGTTGACAGATATCTATTCTCCAAAACAGGTAAAATACCAGCAAAAAAATCCTTATATCCGTTTAAGTACATTTAATTTTATTCTAGGTTTGGACGCAAAACGATTGTGATAGCCTGCTATCTTACAGCAGCTGTTGTATTTATTCCAATCGTGGTGATATACACGCTTGGTACGTTTTTTTTTTATATAACTTTGGATGCAATTTTCTTAATATTATCTTTCTTGTCATGTCTCATTACATGTGACTAATACAGCATATACTATCTACTTTGGAAATATAGAAAAATGTTTCAGAGATTCGTTGACATTGTAGTTATGTGACATAATAATTTAAATTGTATGGTTAAGTAAGTCGTGGAGTACTATGTAGCTGCATTGGCTTATTATCGGTGCAATACATATTTTTATTTTATGTAGGCAAATCCGATGATCTATGGATCGCTATTACCGTGTTGTCTACAATCGGTAGCACAGCTGTAGACACGGCATGGAGTGTGTCAGGTCTAATTATAAATGAAACCTATCCAACCTCCATAAGGTAAGACATATTCTTGACGGCAAGTCAACGTGCGCAGCAAAATAGAAAATGTATATTCTACCAGAAGATGAATATAAGGGTTGGTGACGGGTAAGAGACTTAGCTACAAAAATGCCTTTTCCCCTTCTATGATAACGTCAGTGTGCGTGTTTGATAACCTTTTACACCCAAAATGTGTGTCCGTATATGAGTTTTCAAGAAGTTTTTTTTTTCTTTAGGAACATAGGGATGGGATTAGCTTCTATGTGCGATGCCGCTGGAGGGATCCTATCACCTCAAATGGCGTATTTCGTAAGCATAAATGATGCATTTTATAAATTATCTTAATAAAGTCGGAACAATTTGTTATCAAAACTTGAATATAAGTAGAATAGGTAAATTTATTCTGGGTTTAATTTATTTTAAGAATTGGCTAGTAAGTGTCCAATTCACTTGATTAATTTTACAAGTATGAGAAAGAGAGAGAGAATTGGAAGTTTTTATTAAAGTAACCTTTTGTCTGTTTTTTTTCTTCCAGAGCACGTTTTGGGAGCCCATTCCATATGTTCTAAGTTGCATCCTTGCTTTAGTTTGTGTTTTAGTCAATTGTTTCATCGATGAAACAAAAAACAAAGCCATGGTTGATGCTGTCCCTGATCGAGAGTGGTGCCTTTGTTTTAGCAGGAGGAAAGAGAACAATTACAAATTGTCTGACAAAGAATGCGAATCAAAACTTTGACATAAAAAGAGAATGAAATGATAAAACTACGTATTTCTTTTAACGTTTCCGCTGCCTTGTACTAAATCTCAGGTTATGAATGATCTGTATCAGAGTGTTTTACAACTAGGTGCACGGTGTCATTTATTGCAAGCAAAAAAAAAAAAAAAAAAAAAAAAAAAAAAAAAAAAAATATATATATATATATATATATATATATATATATATATATATATATATATATATATATACGAAAAACGTTTTATTACACTATCCCCTAAGAACAGTATACAAAGAAAGCAGTAACATATAGCAACTTTATACAGAGCCATAATATACCAAATATTATTACTCCTTAATAAAACACCTAAATTAAAAAATATAAATATCAGATTAACAAAATGAATGAGATACATATTTATATCTCCCGAAACTTCTGTACGTGAAATATTTTCTCCTTTCCCTAAATGTAGGTAGCAGGTCTTGGCAGTAATGAATGCCAACCTATTGTCTATCGTGAATAAAATTTTATCTCTTCCAGATGGCCTTAGTCACCATAATGTAAATTAACAATATACAGCAGTACTCAATCATTATCTTAAAAAGAACAGCTTAGAACAAAATGGGCCTCGACGTCAAAGATGTGCAACCGAGAAGGATTTTTTGCCATTCCAATAACGGCGTTTATATGTGGTTTTAATTAATTACTCCCCCATTCCTACTTGCTGTATCATTTCAAAATTTCATCATCAGTTTAGAGCGGTACTCCTCAGCTGAACACTCCTCAGGTGACTCCCGCCAGAAGTCAGGTGATTTGTTTCTGATATATTAAACACAGACTTAGCCTTTATGATTCAGTTTTCCTGCTGTTTTTAGAAATTTAGGCTATAAATTTTTCAAATTGGTCTTCGGAATCTTATACTAGATAGTATTCAAGGATGTGGGCCTCTGACATTGACAGACTTTGTGTTTCAAGGCAAAGTGCAATACTAGTACTTCAGAGAAGAGCTGCAATCAACATAATGCTTACAACTTCGGGGCTTAATTATTAATATTGCTCACTGGTAATATTTTACTATGAAGGTGTCTATGCCTAAAGGCCATTGGTGTTATCATAGTCCATACGTAGGTGCTAAACAGAGGTGTCATCTTTATCTTATTTCTTTGGTTGATCACATAACTTTACGCAGCAATACAGAGGTTGAAATAATGGCTCAGTTTGACGATCTTTTGTTAGAAATTGGTAAGTCGAACAAGTTTTCATGAGAATCAAAGGCTTGTCACTTAAGTTTATCAATCAATAGACAATGATAATACGTGAAGGGAGCATGCAATTTATCTTGCTGAAACTGAACTGAATTAAGATTACAACGCAGATACCAACGTACCATGAAATCGATTATTTTAACCGTTAAATCTAGTTTTTGTTTTCATGTAACGACCACCATGCTCTCAAACACATGCCATAATGGCGAGTAATATTCCGTGGTGCCAGTCCTTCTCTTCTGATTTCAACCAATAAATCGTTTATTCATTTGTAAATATTGGAATTGGTGCAGTGTAAGATACCATAATTGTCACACAGACTGCAATTTACAAAGAAAGAAGTACATGGTGTATTTTTCAGTATCAGTTCTTATAGTGAGGGTTTTGATCTGTACATACCCCAAGATGTGCTAAATTTGGACGACCACAAGGTTTTTAAGGGTCGCCTACATTTTATGTCGAACAACGACGAAATGATGAATATGCTCGCGGTCATTGTGAATTTACTTGTTGTTTCACTTAAGATCTCTTTGTATTTGAACAATGGTCATTTTTGATCATTTTTGTTTGAGTATCGGGAAAGATTTAACGAATCGGGTTGCTACAAAATATTTGGAAATCCCAACCTGGGGCATGGGGGTGGACGAGGTTATGGGCAAAAAGCTGTGTATATTGAGTTTTGTAGGGTCAACTATGTTATCATTGTTGATGTTGTGTTTAGATCAAAGTCTGGGCTGTTTGGGCAATGATCACAGTGTTTTGCCTTAATTCTGTGTACGTCTGACGAAAAATGATAAACCCATCTAAAGATAAACAGATGATGCAACAGTGAGTAATTAGTGACAGTTGGCATCTGGTTACATTTGAAACTCAATATTACAGCTTATACTTGTACATTGAATGTGCATGCATTTGAACATGTAAAAGCGGGTCTATAAACATATGCACATGTAAAGAATTATCATACCCAGGAGCCACAGGAAAATATGCTAAACACGTTTACTTATTTCAGGACAAGTTGGATGGTACCAAGTACTCCTATCTTTTGTCATATCCATAGGATACGAGTTTAGTACGGCGTGTTCAATGCTTATCTTAATGTTTATTGGACCAGATCCTGGTTGGACGTGCGCAGACAATGGTCACGTAAATGCCAGCATGAGTTGGAATGACTCTTACACTACCATGCTCACTCCTTTACTTAATGCAACATACACGCCAGCTTCCAACGCACCTGTTCCGACTTTTTCAACCAGAGACGTTTGTAAGGATTGTACAAACTATAAATTCAATAAAGACTTTACATCTATAGTCACAGAGGTAATTTTCTTTTTTGTCCTTGAAGCTGGAACATCGCCTAGTACCCACTGCTAAAATTTTCACGGAGATTGCCCACCTATATGAAAAGCAAGTCATTGGTGCGCTTTAAGAGTGTGGACTAGGTTACTTATTAATTTAAAGCTTACTGGCTAAAAATGGGGAAATAAGGCACAGTAACAACAAGTACATGCCGAAAAAGCACCTGTTCTTTGCACAAAGAAGATAATGAAAACGGGGAAACAGATGCAAATCAGTGTTTCTAGTTTCTAAATCACTGGCGATATATTTTGTTTTAGTGGGAATTGGTTTGCGACCGGGACTTTATAAGTGACACCATTACGTCTTTGCAAATGGCGGGAGTGCTTGTCGGATCTTTGTTTTTTGGGCAGCTTAGTGACTTGTTTGGGAGAAAGAAGGTATGGCAAAACATATTCAGTGAGCACTGTGTACTATTTCAGTAGCATGAAAAAAATCCAACTCACATTATTAAAGGAAAACTTACTTTTAAAAGAGTATACATTTTTTTATCCCTATATTTTGCACCAAGTTGCTTGCAAAGGACCGAACCGGTAGAATCGATACAGTGTGCTTTAACCTAGTTGAAGGAAGGACTGGAAAAGTACACACACTGGACAAAAGAAGTGTCACCCCTACTGAGCCAATACTATGGGGGAGATAAATGACTGTGGAATGATATGCTCCTGGTATCATTTTATTAACATCAAATTTCACAAAAAATCACAAAATGAGAACAAAATGTACATTCTACCAAAATATGCAGTTCAAGTCCAAAATTAGTACTTAGTGGCATGGCCACGTGACCTAATAAAAGGTGCCAGTTAACGAGGCAAGGATTCATATAATTTTCTGATGCGTTCAGGGCTTATGCTGGCCCAAGCATGGAACACTGAATATAACAGAGTTTCTCTGCTGGTTAGACGGGCATTTGTCAAAAGTTTTGACATATCATTCCACACATTTTCTATTATGTTTGCATCCGGACTCTGGGCAGGCCACATCACCCTGCGAATGTCATGTTGGTCAAACCAATCATCAACTGCTCTGAGCCTGTGACAAGGGGCATAGTCATCCTGGTGAACAAATGGATAATTCCTGTCACCAAACATGTTAGTAATAGATGGTAGCAAGCCTGACACCAAAACATCTATATATTTCTAGTGATTCATGTTTCCATCAACCACTATCAATTCGCCCACGCCATGGATGCTGATGCAGCCCCACACCATAATGAATATGCTGCTCCGGGTTCGAAAATTCAGTGCATGTGGTTCAAATGCTTTACCAGCAGTTCGCCCGCATCGTACTCGTCTGTCATCAGAGGTCAGACCAAAGCGACACTCATCAGAAAAAATATATAGGACCAATTGTCATGGACTGTCCAGCTCCAGATCCTGTTGACCCTAGTTCACTCTACGTTGCCTGTTTTGTAACGATATAAGATGTTTCAGTCTTGCTACCCTGCTGTACACTCTCTGAGCACGTAACCGACGCCTAGCAATTTTCACAGACACATTCTTATGTGTGAAATTGTTCCACTGTGTTGTCAACTGACAAGCAGTGTCAAACTTTGACAACCTGAACATCAAAATCAGTTGTCGGTCTTCACGGCCTGTAGTTTTTCTTGGATGACCCATCAGAGGCAATTTGTCTCTTGATCCAGTGTTTCTATACCGAGACCAGACCCTCTGCACGGTTCTGACTGAACAATTTAATTGTATCGATATTCTGACATTGCTTATATTCCGCCTCTTCAGGTTAATAACTTGCACCTATAACCGTTATATAATTGCCTGTTTCTTGCCATATTGGAGGAAGACAGGAATAATATTTGCTGTACATGTACAAGACCAACAATACAATTCCATGGTATAGCGGTTTTATACTCATTAGTCACATTATAAGTAGACCAGGCATTATAAGTACCCACGATCTGCCTACTTTTATTACTCTGAGTTAGGGGGTGACACTTCTATTGTCCAGTGTGTGTATTTGTCAAATGATGTGTTTAGGATGTTATGTGAAATAAAATGTCGAGTTCATCAATCTGAGTAAACCTGACATTATTTTAGGTCTACTTTCTTGCTACAACTTCACTTTGCGTCATGGGTGTTGCTCAAGCATTTGCTACAAATTGGATACTTTTTGCTGCATGTCGGTTTGGAAGTGGTGTATTGATAGGAGGTAAAGTAATGGCTAAAAATAGCAATAAAAGCACGTACACCTATGAAAATTGTTATGTTACGAAGCGGATACATACAGATCTGTTAAAGGGTTATGCAAAAGATAAAAATATTTTCATCGTTCGAATTCAATAATTATTACGTTCGAATGCAAATTTTGCGAGAGAGCGCGATGATTTTTATGTTTGTAATAACACAAAGGAATACTTCTATCTTCCTGAGTGCTTGAACGAGTGAAAATGCATATTTGTCTTGAAAAACTGTCATAAAATTGCTTTTGTTCTCTCTTCCCATCTCTCTTATCTCTCCTTCACACACACTCTTATTTCTATCAATCTATCCATTTATCTGTGTTTTTTTACCCTTTTAGGTAACATAGTTGTTGGGAACGTCTATAACATCGAATTCCTGGGTCCAAAGTACCGCCATATTCCTCTCACATTTGGGTTGTGGTCGACAAGTTACCTGATATTATTAGCCATGGCGTATTTCATCCGTGACTGGCGCCATCTCCTGCTGGTGACATCTGTGCCTGGCTTTGCCATTATTGGAGCGTGGTGGTACCTAGAGTTTGCATCTTGTTCACATATAATAAAATGAGATTTTGTTGCGTTCTTTCTCAGGCGTTAAGATGATGGGTATCGTGTCTGTTTGCATTGTTTACATGTGGTTTCTACACCGTCTCCTGTCTGTGTTCGGTGTAACGAAACTGAGGGTCCCTGTAACAGAAAGTCCGCCATTCATATAATTATAATGGTTAGAGTTGGTTTAACCTAAGTGGGTCAAAATCTAGGGCGAGATTCAACTGCACAAATAAATGGAAGCGGATTCTCGGTTATGGGGGACTCTCTGTCACGTTACACCGTCGTTATTTTGCTTTCGTTTTAACATACATAAACACTACCTTTAGAGCACATCTTAATTCCAGGTTTGTACCTGAAAGTCCCAGATGGCTTCTTAGTAAGGGTCGCTTTGACGAGGTGACAACTATTGCGAAGAGAATAGCCAAGAAGAACAAGAAACCGCAACCAAATATGGAGAAATTCATAAAAGCGTACAAGGTCAATAACAATATTTTTGAAGTGATATATGAACAGATTTATTGGAATATGAGTAATTATATACCTGAATCTGACTCATGTCATTTTAATATTTTACATTCTGTCACTTTTGTTTATCATCAGAGCGAAACGCCTAATTGTGAGCCCGGAGTTAAGCATAGTTATTGGGATCTCTTTCGTACACGCAGTTTAGCTAAGTGCACGCTCATCTTCTCGTTACAGTGGTAAGTGGCATGGTAGGTGATCAGAACTTAAGAATGTGTTTTGTAATACTTACGAAGAGCTTCTTGCATATCAGGAAATTTTCTTGCCACTGTGTAGGCAATTTAGAAAGTGTAAATCAAAAGAGCAAATGTACAGCAAAATGAATGCGCGTTTATAATCCTCCATCAAATTATTTTTAGTATACCTTGTTTTTGCGCAAGTACACGTATTTGTGTCTGACAAAAACTCATGTTTCTTTCCGTCTAGGTTCTCCATGAGCTTGATTGGGTACGGGGTAGCATTCAACATGAAGAATTTACCTGGCGACAGATTCGTAAACCTGTCAATCACCTTCTCGTCCAGCTATCTTATACCCATCAGTGTGTTCTTTCTGCCGCGATGGTGAATAACACATTAAGATTTTGATATGTAAAATAAGTGAATTTGGCAGAAAAAAAGGAGATTTGGATGCCTTTACAGTGTACATTTAATTATTGACATATTTTATTAGAAAATGGATTTTGCAAAAGCAAATAAGCAGATTTAATTCCATCTGACAACCGCCTGTACATTGAAAAGTGACGACATTTAAAATTTTCCCATAAAACACAATTTTCGTTCTTTTTTCCACAGGTTTGGACGTCGTACAATATGCGTTGCTGGCTTTTTGATCTCATCCATTGCTTTTATTCCAACTGTGGTAATTTATATCATTGGTGTGTGTATTTTGATCTTACATTTAGTTGATTGACAAATACCAGGCAATCTGCCAAGTGATTTATGTTAAGAAATGTAATGGCGGCTTAGATAACTATTTCATTTGAGCAGTTTGATTTCTAACACAGGCCATGTCCTTTTCATGGGTGTTAGGAATCTAGAGAATGTAAAATTAATAGAATGAAAAGCATTGCGATGATCGAGGGTCATATGTTTAACGGTGATCAATTCACCACTGTCTGTTTAGCTGGCAACATCGTTTTTTAAGCATCGAAAAATCACGGGTATCATTTGATAGTAACCTGTCCTAGAATTTCAAAATGGAAATTGCTATGCGCAATGTCAAAATTTTATTAGTATGTCATAAAAACATATGATTTTAATTTTGATTTAGACAAAGCTGATGACTTATGGCTTCTGGTCATCATTCTAACTACGATAGGCGGAACTTCGCAGGGTGCATCATGGAATGGCTCTATTTTACTTGTAACGGAAACTTACCCAACTGCAATAAGGTAAAACTAATAAAGTCTTTAATTGAAAAATATATTTTCCTTGTTTGACCTATACTTTTTTATTATCTGCATCAGTGGTTAAGCCAATCCTGAAACTCTTTTTTTTCTTCGTTACGTAGCGAAATAGGTCTACAGTAATCGTAGTTGTATTAGCCCTTGGCTATTGAAAAAAGAAAACAAGATTTACGTATTCATCATTCACATTGATTTTAAGTTACAATATTAAGAAAAAGTGAGATATAACAAATGAAGCTGGGAGAGATTTAAAGCAGGTATAATGTGTTTCCAGAAATATTGGGCTTGGGTTTGCGTCTATGTCTGCACGTTTTGGAGGAATACTAGCTCCCCAGATGGCTTATTTTGTAAGTATTCATGCTCATTCCATTCAATTATAATATTTTCGTGGACCTATCTACATTGCAACCTTATGGTAATATTGAGAAAAAATGTCAGACTACTTATATAGTCATTTTAACCAATTCTTGTTTGGTATTCTTCTCAGGGTACATTTTGGGCACCGATTCCATTTGTGATGAGTGCAGCATTTGCTTTCTGGTCAGGGATTGCAAGTTTTTACCTGAAGGAAACCAAAAATAAAATTTTGGAAGATGAAGTGCCTGACAGAGAGTGTTGCCTTTGTTGCCCGATGAAGAAGGAAGATGACGACAAAATAGATGACAAAGAATGTGTCACAGTAACTGAACTTTGAACGTTTCTCTCCATATATTCTGCACAAGTAAACAGGCCGAACAGCGGTATGCTCACGCGTTAATTACTCTGAAAATTCCAAGGGGACGTTTTAAATCAGTCCAAGCCAGAATTTCGAACGCATTATGAGAACATTAATTGCTTCTTATTGAACTTATCTGAGGACAATAAAATATATATTGAAAGATAAATGACCTTAACATGTATCGCAAATATCGCTGAACACTCCTCAGCTGACTCCCACTAGAAGTCAGGTGATTTGTTTCTGATATCTTAAACACAGACTTAGCCTTTATAGTTCAGTTTTCCTGCTGTTTTTAGAAATTTAGGCTATAAATCTTTCATATTGGTCTTCGGAATCTTATTCTAGATAGTATTCAATGAATTGCCGGCCTATGATATTGACAGACTTTGTGTTTCAAGGCAAAGTGCAATATTAGTACTTCAGAGAAGAGCCGCAACTTCAGGGCTTAATTATTAATATTGCTCATTGGTAATATTTTACTATAAAGGTGCCTATGCCTAAAGGCCATTGGTGTTATCATAGCTTATACGTAGTTACTAAACAGAGATATCATCTTTATCTTATTACTTTGGTTGATCACAACTTTATGCAGCAATACAGTGGTTGAAATAATGGCTCAGTTTGACGATCTTTTGTTAGAAATTGGTAAGTCGAACAGGTTTTCATGAGAATCAAAGCCTTGTCACTTTAGTTTATCAATCAATAGACAATGATAATATGTGAAGAGAGCATGCAATTTATCTTGCTGAAACTGAATTAAGATTACAACGCAGATACCAACGTACCATCAAATCGAATATTTTTAACCGCTTAATCTAGTTTTTGTTTCATGTAACGACCACCATGCTCTCAAACACATGCCATAATCGCGAGTAATATTCCGTGGCATTTTATCGTTTCTTCATTTGTAAATATTTGAATTGGTGTAAGAAACCATAATTGTCACACAGACTGTTGCAAATTACAAAGAAAAAAGTACATAGTGTATTTTTCAGTATCAGTTCTTATAGCGTGGGTTTGATCTGTACAAACCCCAAAATGTGCTAAATATGGACCGCAAGGTTTTTAATGGTCGCCTACATTTTATGTCGAACAACGACGAAGTGATGAATATGCTCGCGGTCATTGTGACCGTACATGTTGTTTCACTAAGATCTCTTTGTATTTGAACAATGGTCATTTTTGATCATTTTTGTTCGAGTATCGGGAAAGATTTAACACATTGGGTTGCTACAAAATATCTGGAAATCCCAACCTGGGGCATGGGGGTGGGCGAGGTCACGGGCAAAAAGTTGTGTATATTAAGGTTTTGTGGGGTCAACTATGGTATCATTGTTGATGTTGTGTTGAGATCAAAGTCTGGGCTGTTTGGGTTATGATCACAGTGTTTTGCCTTAATTCTGTGTACTTCTGACGAAAAATGATAAACCCATCTAAAGATAAACAGATGATGCAACAGTGAGTAATTAGTGACAGTTGGCATCTGGTTACATTTGAAACTCAATATTACAGCTTATACTGTGAATGTGCATGCATTTAAACATGTAAATGCGGGTCTATAAACATATGTACATGTAAAGCATTATCATACCCAGGAGCCACAGGAAAATATGCTAAACACGTTTACTTATTTCAGGACAAGTTGGATGGTACCAAGTGCTCCTATCTTTTGTCATCACCATAGGATACGAGTTTAATACAGCGTGTTCAATGCTTATCTTAATGTTTATTGGACCAGATCCTGGTTGGACGTGCGCAGACAACAGTGACGTGAATGCCAGCATGAGTTGGAATGAGTCTTACACTACCATGCTCACTCCTTCACTTAATACAACACCCACGCTAGCTTCCAGCACACCTGTTCCGACTATTTCAACCAGAGACGTTTGTAAGGATTGTACAAACTATAAATTCAATAAAGACTTTACATCTATAGTCACAGAGGTAATGTTTTTTTTGTCCTTTAAGCTGGAACAATGTGTAGTTCCCACTGGTATAATTTCAGGGCGTTTGCCCACCTATATTGAAAGCAAGTCATTGGTGCGCTTTAAGTGTCGACTAGGTTACTCATTAATTTAAAGCTAACTTGCTAAAAATGGGGAAATGAGGCACAGTAACAACAAGTACATGCAGAAACACACACTGTTTTTCGCACAAAGAAGATAATGATAACTGGGAAACAGATGCAAATCAGTGTTTCTAATTTCTAAATCACTGGTGATATATTTTGTTTTAGTGGGAATTGGTTTGCGACCGGGACTTTATAAGTGACACCATTACGTCTTTGCAAATGGCGGGAGTGCTTGTCGGATCTTTGTTTTTTGGGCAGCTTAGTGACTTGTTTGGGAGAAAGAAGGTATGGCAAAACATATTCAGCGAGCACTGTATACTATTTCAGTAGCATGAAAAAATTCCAACTCACATTATTAAAGGAAAACTTTGCCACTTACTTTTAAAAGAGTATACATATTTTTATCCCTATATTTTGCGCCAAGTTGCTTGCAAAGAACCGAACCGGTAGAATCGATACAGTGTGCTTTAACCTAGTTGAAGAAAGGACTGGAAAAGTATTTGTCAAATGATGTGTTAAGGATGTTATGTGAAATAAAATATCGAGTTCATAAATTTGAGTAAAACTGGCATTATTTTAGGTCTACTTTCTTGCTACAACTTCACTTTGCGTCATGGGTGTTGCTCAAGCATTTGCTACAAATTGGATACTTTTTGCTGCATGTCGGTTTGGAAGTGGTGTATTGATAGGAGGTAAAGTAATGGCTAAAAATAGCAATAAAAGCACGTACACCTATGAAAATTGTTATGTAATGAAGCGGATACATACAGATCTTTTAAAGGGTTATGCAAAAGAAAAAATATTTCCATAATTCGAATTCAATAATTATTACGTTTGAATGCAATTTTTGCGAGAGAGCGCGATGATTTTTATGTTCGTAATAACACAAAAGAATACTTCTATCTTCCTGAGTGCTTGAACTAGTGAAATTGCATATTTGCCTTGAAAAACAGTCATTAAATTGCTTTTGTTCTCTCTATCCATCTCTCTTATCTCTCCTTTACACACACTCTCATTTCTATCAACCTATCCATTTATCTGTGTTTTTTAACCTTTTAGGTAACATAGTTGTTGGACACGTCTATAACATCGAATTCCTGGGCCCAAAGTATCGTCATATTCCTCTCACATTTGGATTGTGGGCGACAAGTTCCCTGATATTATTAGCCATGGCGTACTTCATCCGCGACTGGCGCCATCTCCTGCTGGCAACATCTGTGCCTGGCTTCACCATTATTGGAGCGTGGTGGTAGCTAGTGTTTACGTGTTCTTGTTGTTCACAAATAATAAAATGAGATTTTTGTTGCGGTATTTCTCAAACTAGGCGTTAAGATACTGGGTATAGTTTCTGTTTGTATTGTTTACATGTACTTTCTACACCGTCTCTTGTCTGTGTTCGGTGTAACGAAACTGAGGGTCCCTTCAACAAACAGTCCGCCATTCATATACTTATAATGGTTAGGGCTAGTTCAACCTAAGTGGGTTAAAATCTAGGGCGAGGCTCAATTGTACAAATGAATGGAAGCGGATTCTCGGTTATGGGGGACTCTCTGTTACGTTATACCGACATTATTTTGCTTTCGTTTTAACATATATCAACACTGCCTTTAGAGCACATCTTAATTCCAGGTTCGTACCTGAAAGTCCCAGATGGCTTCTTAGTAAGGGTCGCTTTGACGAGGTGACAACTATTGCGAAGAGAATAGCCAAGAGAAACAAAAAACCGCAACCAAATATGGAGAAATTCATAAAGGCGTACAAGGTCAATAACAATATTTTTGAAGTGATATATGAACAGATTTATTGGAAACTGAGTGATTATATATCTGAGTCTGACTCATGTCATTTTAATATTTTACATTCTGTCACTTTTGTTTATCAACAGAATGAAACGCCTAATTGTGAGCCCGGAGTTAAGCACAGTTATTGGGACCTCTTTCGTACACGCAGTTTAGCTAAGTGCACGCTCATCTTCTCGTTACAGTGGTAAGTGGCATGGTAGGTGATCAGAACTTAAGAATGTGTTTTGTAATAATTATGCAGATGTCTACGAGGGGCTCCTTGCATATCAGGGATTTTCCTTGCCACTGTGTAGGCAATTTAGAAAGGGTAAATCATAAGAACAAATGTACAGCAAGATGAATGCGCATTTACAATCCTCCATCAAATTATTTTTGGCATACCTTGTTTTGCGGAAGTGCACGTATTTGTGTGCGCAATCTGACGAAAACTTACGTTTATTTCCGTCTAGGTTCTGCATGAGCTTGATTGGGTACGGGGCAGCATTCAACATGAAGAATTTACCTGGCGACAGATTCGTAAACATGTCAATCTCCTTCTCGTCCGGCTATCTTATACCCATCAGTGTGTTCTTTCTGCCGCGATGGTGAATAACACATTAAGATTTTGATAAGTAAAATAGTGAATTTTGCAGAAAAAAGTAGATTTGGATGCTTTCGCAGTGTACATTTAATTATTGGCATATTTTATTAGAAAGTAAATGAATTTTGCAAAAATAAATTGAGCAGATTTTAATTCCATCTGACAACCGCCTGTACATTGAAAATTGACATTTAGAATTTTCCCAGCAAACACAATTTTCGTTCTTTTTTTCACAGGTTTGGACGTCGTACAATATGTGTGGCTGGCTTTTTGATCTCATCCATTGCTTTTATTCCAAGTGTGGTAATTTATATCATTGGTGTGTGTATTATGATCTTACATCTAGTTGATTGACAATCACCAGGCAATCTTCCAAGTGAATTATGTTAACAAATGTAATGGCGGGTTAGAGAACTATTTAATTTAAGCAGTTTGATTTCTAAAACAGACCATGTCCTTTTCATGGATGTCAAGAATCTAGAGAATGTGCAATTAATAGAATGAAAAGCATGGCGATGATAGAGGGTCATATGTTTAACGGTGATCAATTCACCACTGTCTGTTTAGCGGGGAACATCGTTTTTTAAGCATCGGAAAATCACGGGTATCATTTGACAGTAATTTGTCCTAGAATTTCAAAATGGAAATTTCTATGCACAATGTCAAAATTTTATGTTTAGTATGTCATAAATACATATGATTTTAATTTTGATTAAGACAAAGCTGATGACCTATGGCTTCTGGTTATCATTCTAACTACGATAGGCGGAACTGCGCAGGGGGCATCGTGGAATGGCTCTATTTTACTTGTAACGGAAACTTACCCAACTGCAATAAGGTAAAAATAACAAAGTCTTTAATTGAAAAAGATATTTTCCGTGTTTGACCAATACTTTTTAATTATCTACATCAGAGGTTAAGCCAAGCCTGAAACTCTTTTTTCTTCGTTACGTAACGAAATAGGTCTACAGTAATCGTAGTTGTATTAGCCCTTAGCTATTGAAAAAGAAAAGATTTACGTATTCATCATTCACATTGATTTTAAGTTACAATATTAAGAAAAAGTGAGATATAACAAATGAAGCTGGGAGAGATTTAAAGCAGGTATAATGTATTTCCAGAAATATTGGGCTCGGGTTTGCGTCTATGTCTGCACGTTTTGGAGGGATACTAGCTCCCCAGATGGCTTATTTTGTAAGTATTCATGCTCATTCCATTCAATTATAATATTTTCGTGGACCTATCTACATTACAACCTTATAGTAATGTTGAGAAAAAATGTCAGACTACTTATACAGTCATTTTAACCAATTCTTGTTTGGTATTCTTCTCAGGGTACATTTTGGGCACCGATTCCATTTGTAATGAGTGCAGCTTTTGCTTTCTTATCTGGGATTGCAAGCCTTTACCTGAAGGAAACCAAAAATAAAATTTTGGTAGATGAAGTACCAGACAGAGAGTGTTGCCTTTGTTGCCCATTGAAGAAAGAAGATGACGATAAAATGGATGACAAAGAATTTGTCACAGTGACTGAACTTTGAACGTTTCTCTCCATACATATTCTGCGCAAGTAAACAGGCCGAACAGCGGTATGCTCACGCGTTAATTACTCTTAAAAATTCCAAGGGGACGTTAAATCAGTCTAAGCCAGAATTTTGAACGCATTCTGAGAGCATGAATTGCTTCTTGATGAACTTATCTGAGGACAATAAAATGTATATTGAAAGATAAATGGCCTTAACCAGTATCGCAAGAAAAATAAAATATATTCACCGTCCCCTGTCCAACCTCGGTATTCAGTCATCTTGACACAGTTTTAACGCAGTTCACGGGCACGAGAGTCTCGCGATATGTGGAAGTCAAGTCATGGAGTGAATGGTGTATCTGGAGAACCTGCGCTTAGGCGCGTGTTTTGATTTTTTACTTTTTCCAAAACTGTTACAGGGTAATGGTGAGTGGCAAGAAAGGAAGTAAGAGGGGAGAAATGTCGATTAACCGGTTAAATATGAGTTTTAGAGAGAAAATCCTGGATTGAGATGTTTAAAGTGTTGCCTTGCTCTTCAAAATACATTTTAGAACTGTAAAAAGCAACTGCCCTGGCCTGCAAACTCCCCAGATATGAACCCAATTGAAAATTTGTGGGCGGAAGTAACTCACAGAATTTAATAGCTATGGTCATCGGCCGGTAAATAGTGATGAACTGCGACAGGCAGTGGAATGATATCCCCTAACAAACTCTAAAAAACTTGCCACAAGGCAGGCCATGTAGGACGAGGGTGCTGCAAGCGACTGCTGGAGGTCATACCTGCTTTTGATGACTTTTCATGATTTACTGTAATAAGTTCTTTGACTGTGCAACATATCACTGTCCGGAAGCTATCATTTTCTTTAATATCTTAGCTTAAAATTAATACTGACATCAAACTGTTGATATGGTTTTCACGGGGTGTTCTTTTCTTTTGAATAACATCTTATGTGAGATTTGATATTATTGACCAAAATATTTCACAATGGAAGACTGGATATTTTTATCACTCAATGGCATGCTTTTTTGATGAATCAAGCCAAATAAAAATTAATCAGCACTCAAAAATAACAATGATAAAAAATATTCCATATTAAGTAGTAACCCTGTATATATGATCACCGTTTTAACGCCGATTCAATGACACCATTCACTACTCCAAAACCCAGCTAGCAATTTTTATTAGAATTCTTAGTTCTGAATGTTGATAAAGGAAAATTGTGCCTTTGATTAATGAAAAACTGTGATTTCGGTCTCATAATTCCATAACGAAAACTTTGAAACTTAAATGCTCATACACTTGTGGTCAAGACTGCCGATTTTTGTGATAAAATTTTGTTCAGGGATGAAGTTACGCGGCATACCGATTGCTATTTCATCTCAACACAGAAAGGTGTTAAATTGACAATTAAAGCTTTGAGTTACCTATGCTTATACGAGAAATATAAACACCGATATTTCTTTTCGAAGTTTTTTTATTGTTTTAAATCAGCATAAAGATGGATACATTATTTAATAATTAAATGCAGGAAAAACATCGTTTTTGGTATCTGGATGATAATAAAGGGTTACAATACCCTTAAGGGGTTAAAGACACTTTTAACTGTACACATGCACACATACACACACACATATTGTGCATTTCCTTTGGTTCCGGAAATCCTCCTTTTAGGTTTAATATATATCTGTGGTTGCGGCATTTTAAACCTGTGCAGAATGCGTGTTTCCATCTCAGTTTTTAACTTTGTTTACGGTGGAAACTTTACAATGCCCACAATTGTATTCAATCACGTGAGATAGGTATGTTTACCCAAACGTCGGAAGGTCGTGCCGTCTACTTGTTATCTGGGCTCGGCCAGGGATAACGGCCTTCTAGGGTAAACTATATGCATACACTGTACGAATTCTTAGCTGCACCCTTAAACTTACATATATATATGTAGGACACTAAGTACTGGCGACTGTGAATCCCATGTCTATGGCCATCTTAGTGCATAGATTGCATTCACGAATTCTAATTGGCGTGGTACTTACACAACCCACTTCAAACTTTAGAAAATGAACCGAAAATATATTGTCGGTAGTTAAAATGGAGTGTCACTGTTAATCATTAAAATTTCATGATACCCCCCTTATCATTTGTTTGCATGAATGTGCACGCCTTCGTTCGTCCCGTCAATATCAGAGCTGTATAAGTTTTAGGCGGTGTGTCAGAGAAATCGGCGCACTTTTAAACATGACGAAGTTTGAAGACATTTTGCTGGATATTGGTAAGTCTACTATAGCAAAGGAGTATATGTAAATGTATACCTTATATTCGTCTCCTTTTAACATAATTGAGGTTTGGTATTTTCCATGATTATTGATGGAATTAAGCAAAAATTTGATGCACCTAATTTGAAGCGAGAGGAATTCACTAATTGTTTTTCTTGCCATTTACAGACAGCTTGTAAAGTTATATTAAGTTTCCATGGCTATCCAATATACAAATCAGTTATCTTTATACTATGTCATGATATACATGAAAACTAGATATTTTAAAATAAAAGCCAGAAAGCTTAACCCCTCAATCAGTTTTTAATATTTTGTAATTAGTACCCTGTGCAGCATATATATATATATATATATATATATATATATATATATATATATATATATATATATATATATATATATATATATATATTGCTTCTGGTAATACTCCTTGTTTCAGGCCAGGTAGGCTGGTACCAGTTCACCCTGGTGTTGGTCATCACTCTTGGTTGGGAGATGGTCACCGCTTGGTCCATGTTGAACTTAGTCTTCGTTGGAGCAGATCCAGGCTGGTCATGTCGGGACGAACTCGCTGGAAACATCACAATAAGTAAGGACATTTTCGGCCAGAGCTCTGCGTCGTCTGTATCACTGGGTGCTACTCAGGTGGCGCCACTGAACTGGACCTCTCCGAATGCAACGACCATCGGCTGTGGAGAATGCACGTCGTATCTTTTTAATCAAGATTTCACGTCTATTGTCACTGAGGCAAGCACTTTCTTTTTTCTTTTGTTTAGTAATTTTAGGTTTTTGACAAGTTATCCGTGTAGGCCCTACTTCTAAATTAAATATATTCTTTGTTGAAAATGTTTTATTTCTGTCAAATGAATAAATCAGTGTCAGATTCAGGGTATAGAGTGGCAAATAGATACATATATGTGTACTTGATAGTGTTTATTCTTCTTCGCACATGACACTGAAGAAGTTTATTTCCCCTATGTTAATCATTACTAAAGGCGACTTCTGGCTATGCTGATAAGAAATACGAGTGCCTTAGTTGTCTCATACAAGCCCAATTGATGTGGTCATCTGGTTCCCTCTTTAAGATTTACTGGCTTATAACCTCCCTTAATATTTAAGAACAGTTCAGACTCCGTTTACGACAATTCTAGTTAACTATTTATAAATAACGTAAGATTTTCAGTGATTTTTAAGGATCACTGCCAGAACCCAATAGAAGAAACGCCTTATTTAACATTTTCACATGTAATCCCTAGGCAGCAAAATGGCATTTTTGATTAACTTTTGAAATCCATTTTAATGTACATGTATTTAACCAGTATCCGTAGCTGTTATTTCTTGCAATGTATGGAGACCAAGGAAACGCTAGTGCCATTAAACACCTAAAACCTCTTAGCTATTTACACCTGGAGATCTTGCTGTAGAACAAAAACTAATTGAGTTATATAATTAAAATATAAGATCATTCTATTATGATTTATTGTGAGTTGCTCGTATGTGGTAACAGTAGTGTCTAATTATCAAGAAGTTATACATACTGTATAATAACCTTTCATTGTCTCTGAATGATAAAATAGAATCATCCGGCCAATATTTTCACCCAAAATGTTTCTGCTCGCATGTTTTAGACTCATTTTCTCAGCAACAGCAAAAGTCTGTCTTCTCATTCTCAAGTACGTGCCGTTAGATCTGTTACAAACCCAATCGCCATTCCATTTCAGTGGGAATTGGTTTGCAGCAGGGACTTCATCAGCGACACCATATCTTCCCTCCTCATGGCAGGCGTTCTGATCGGGTGTGTAGTATTTGGGCAGCTGAGTGATTTATTTGGAAGGAAAAAGGTGAGAATGGAACTCCACAAAGAGTCATAAAGTTCACCGAAGCTCTATATTCAAATTAAGTTAGAGTGCATTTCTAATATGTAAATACAATCAATCAGTTGATGGAAAATTTGTGCACTATATTTTAAAGGGCTTGATTTAATTATAGAAAAGATAATTGCACCGTCTACTAGCGCTCTAAGTGGTCACATGTACAGTGTAATTCGAATGCTAGGAACGCTAGGAAATCATCATGTATGAAGTATGTTTTCTTGTCCTTCTGTATGGGATAATTGGATTGACCCCAAACGTATACTCAGCTTTCTGTTCTGCAGGCGTTCTTTGTAGCAGTCCTGTTGACCAGCAGTACAGGGTTGGGGCAAGCCTTCACAACAAGCTGGATACAGTTCGCAGGGTTACGTTTTGCCAACGGAGTAGGATGTGGAGGCACGTGTCCAAAGTTTTTATGTTCGGAAACAAGTGAAATATGTCCTTTAAAGTTCTCTTAATGCCTTGATCTCTTATGTATTGTGCTAGAAATCGAAATAAGTACATGTATATGCAAACAGAAAGAGGGTAGTCACAATGAGCAGAACGTTCAGTTGAGTACAAGTAACACTTAATTTCGAATTTTTTGAGCCCCAGACAGAAAGAGCAACTCCACACACGTTCCATCTAGTATGCCAGTCATTGATGCCCAATCGGTAGATATCACCCTCTAACTAAACCTCCACAGCGGCTGTCAGCTCATCATTATGCATCCTCAAAACTCTGACCCTGAATGTGTTTTTCAGTCAAAGAAAGAGGCTGAAGTCGCTGTGGGCTAGAATAAGGTGGGTAAGGGAGGAGGTCATCGCCACACTTGCACACAAATGCCATCGCAACTCGGCTGGTGTGCGTTTATTTGGTGAAATTTATTCACACGACGAAAGAGGGTATTTCTCAGTAGCTAAGGCATTAATAAACAACGGGCGTGATGCATTGAACTTTGTGACCAGGAAAAAGTTGTGAGGCACAAAACGATTTGACAGACCTACGTATTTTAAAATTACAAACATTTGCTAGACAGGTTTTCTTTTTGTTGATTAGTTTTCTAATAATAATCTGTCCCATAGGAGGGTTAGTGGCGGGCTACATATATGGAATCGAATTTCTGGGACCTAAGTATCGACAAATGACAGTTGCCTTTGGTGTTTGGAGCATTTCGGCCATTGTTCTGGTGGGATTTGCCTATGCCATCCGCGACTGGCGCCATCTGATGATTGTAACTTCAACTCCTGGGTTTATTGTGATATTCCTGTGGTGGTGAGTGTGTTTGTCTTTATGTTGCAGTAGCGGAGCTTTATCCCGTAGTAATTGCACCACTTAACAGATAACACTTACTATAATGTTAGCGTTAAAGTACCAAATGTTCTTAAACTTCTCGCAATTAATCTTTCAAGTGATAAAAGGAGATCTAAAGCGAAAGGCATTTTACGAAATTTTCATTTGTCGTTTTATCCTTTTTATAGGTTCCTACCTGAAAGCCCAAGATGGCTTTTCAGTCAAGGTCGCTATGAGGAGGTCACAGCGATTGTGAAGAGAATTGCCAAGTTTAACAAAAAGCCACAACCAAATATGGAGAAATTTATTAAGGAGTATGAGGTAAGTAAATACGTTGACGATTCAATTTGTACGTGCGAGTACTTGCATCAAATTATTACCTCTTAACCCGACCAAAAGTCACCATAGCGATTCAAATACATGTAGTACATGTATTTCTTTAAAAAATGTCACATAGTTTGATTGTATTATTTGATTATTAATATTGTGAAAATGATATCAGCACAAATATTTTCTGCTCACTTTTCTGTGATTAAAACGTATGTATCATAAAACCTAAGAGTCTGCTTATGAACAGAAAGAAGGGCTACAATGTATAACAGGTTATATAAAACTCCAGAGAATATTTGTTCAAAAGACTTCTTTAGGGAGGGTGGCGGTTATAACGCAGCCTCCGTTGCACGCAGCCTAGAGTACCGATTGACTAGCTGGTGCGAATAAGTGCATTGGAGTCAGTGCCTCATGGAAAAAGTAAATATATTTATTTTTGTTTATTTATGTTTATTTTTTTTCTCGTTTGCATAGAAAGAAAAAGAGATTCAATCGCACAGTGAAAAATACGGCTTCTGGGATCTGTTCCGCACGCCAACTTTAACAAAACGAACAGCAATGATAATGTATGTCTGGTAAGTTTGGGGTCTGAGACATGGGGTGGAGCCTTTTATAATCAAAACCTGCGTGGCTTAAATCTTTGTGTAAGCAATGAAAACAGATACCGGTTGGCGATCCTCAATAACTTTATTGGGAAGATTCATTGATAATAAGTACAAACACGTTTGTGTTCTGTATAAAAATGCAAATAAATTTATGTTTTAGAGATACAGTGAGTGTAGTGTGTCCCCTCTCTCTTGCTACGTATTTACATGTTGATCGTATAGCAACTGCATAAATGTTTATAAATTTGAAGTACACGGGGAAATATCCTCTTATTTAAACTTATTTTCATAGTGATACAATTGTTGTTTTATCACTTTGTAGCAATCCATTTATGTCCTGTATGGATTAATTTTCAGGTTCAGCATGAGTCTGTTCAACTACGGGGCGACTTTTCACCTGAAAAACCTACCAGGCGACCGATATGTAAACTACTTAATCAATTTTGCTGTCCGATATCTCTCACCATTTTCTATGTTTTTCTTGCCTCGGTGGTAAGTCGGTTTTGAGGAGTGAGGTTAACCTGTATTTTTTTTTTTTTTTTTTTTTTTTTTTAGAATTTCAGAATTTTAGTATTTGCGCATGCAGTGTTCTTTCTTTATAAACCAATTAATTTGAAGATGTATCTCAAACAATACCCAAGAAGTGGCTTCGAATACATCAGCGTTTTTTATAAGTTAACGTGTATAAGATACAGCAGTAAGTTATCAATTGTCAGCACTGTACAACAACTGCTTATTAATAACAACTTTATGGCATATTTATTTGTAGGTTAGGAAGAAAGACGATTGCGGTTGTAGCCTTATTCTTTGCGACCGTGTGCATCGTTCCTATTATGACGATATTCCTCCTAGGTGCGGATATTATTTTTCTGACCTTTTTACATTTTTATTGAGAGAAAATGCACAATAACAAACATGTTTGCTATTCCTTTTGGCAAAACCGAGATTTATATTAATGAACTATTTTATAATGTCTAAATGTAAGCACCATAACATACATATATGACATTCACACTCTTCACTCTTGCTTTGATATCAGGGTTATTTGATGAGCTGGCTATCGTGGCAACTATTTTGATAACCTTGGCAACAACCAGTGTTGGGATCGGATGGCTGGCAATGTATGTGTTGACATCAGAATCATACCCAACACATATAAGGTAAGTACTTACAATACGTTTGTTGATAAATACCAACATCGAAACATAACATCTGCGCGATTGATATACATGTATATGTTACATGTACTTATGTAAAATGGGAATGCATTGCGCGGAGATTTTAATGGATCCTGTTTATAGCCCGTTCATGACAACATCGAAGTTACATTCAACCTGACTTTAAAGTGCAAATTAAGCCGTTGCGCGTCGGAGGTTATGTGCACAATTAGTTAAACTTTATAAGGTTAAAATCAGTCTTAATGGCTGGACTGGCATTTTTACAAGATTCAAGAAGTTTTATATAAACCTCTTAAAAAAACATTACGGAGATGGAAACTTGATGAAACACGCTGTATTTTGATATTTCGATGCAAAGTCATTAGCGATTCATTATTACTTCAAGAAATTACAGGAATAAATTAAAACCCATAAAATATAAAGCAAAAAGAGTGAAATATACAGCTCCCTTAGCTCTAATGCATGAAGGATTTTCTTTTCAACAACAGTTGGTAGGCCTACATGTACATGTAGCACGCAGGTCTTGATAGTAATAACGGCAATCTCATCGTTATCTTTCACAAATACATTAATTTTAATAAGGCCAGAATTCGCTCTATTTTAACCAGTGTTGCCATGTGATAACTTGGGTCAGTCTGTTTCATAAAGCTTTCACAGTGGTCAGCCTGGCAGTTGACATATTAAGTACTAGAATCGTACAGCCAGAGGGTCAAATTTATAGTGCACATAAAAAATAATTATTGTGACAAAACAGTGCCCTGGAGATTCAATTATTGTTAAGTAAAATATTTTAATGGGGGTATTATTAAGCGTCAATATAAGCTGCTGATTTGAGGAAAAATTAATTCATTCTTATAACTTAAAGGGATAATAACTCTTCGTATGAGATTTATATTTCACAATAAAAACATTGTGAATAACTCACAGAAATATAATATATTCTGTTTTACCACAAAAACGGCATTTATAGCTATTATTCTGATATCTGAGCTGGTCTTCAGACCACGTGACCTCCACTGACGGCTATACTCTGTTATAATCTCTTAAGACATTTTAACGAAAAAACCAAACTTTTTAGAAAAAAAACCAAGGACTAACTTTGAATGTAAAAATGGATTCATTAACCATTGGTAAGTATGGGAAAATTGTTGTTTACTCCAGGAAAATTCATTTTTTGGCCAAAACGAAGAGTTATTATCCCTTTAACACATCAGATGAAATTCTTCAATATGTTTAACTTTTCAAACCGTAAACTTTTTAAGTAGTCCTAAGAGCTTTTTAAATCTTAAAACGTGGCCTTTCCAGGAATGTTGGTCTCGGGGTTGCATCCATGTCCGCACGAGCTGCGGGGATTTTGGCGCCACAATTGGCATATTTCGTAAGTAATACATATAGGTATAGGGAGTTTTCTAAAATAACGCTAAAATGTGTTTAAAAAGAAAACAGCAAAAACTTTCCCTTTTCAAAATACAACCTACATTTTGTTACGTTTAATCGCATAATATGCATGTTTTTTCCAAGACGCTCTGTAATGTTCCCAATAAAACCAAAAGAAACTGTGGCGATAAAGTAGACTTCCGTGTACTTATGACCTGTTCTTTTATCATTCCAGAGTAAATTTTGGGGAGCAGTGCCTTTTGTGATCAGCGGGTTCTTTGCCCTCACTGCAGGAATTATTACCTGTTTCCAACACGAAACCAAAGGGAAGGCTCTCCCGGAGACGGTACCAGACAGAGAATGGTGCTTCTGTCTAGGCAGGAATAAAATCGACGACAACAAGTATAAAGACGAGGACGGTGTATGGGTCACTCGACTTTGAACGATTCAGTCATTTTCTGGGCTGAGTTGGAAACGCACATATGTAGTGTCCAGAAGGCGTGTTTAGTAAGGGTTGTTCACGCTATGCATTTACAGTATAGTCGTATTTTCAGCATCTTGTGGTTTCACTGCTTTTTTAAATAACGTCATTAAGTTAAGATCCACGCATGTTGATTTTTTTTGGACATTTTTTAAACTCGGGATGATCATTCAGCAATGAGAAACGAGTTTGAAACAGTGATATAAACCTGGTGTTCTGGAATCATTTGTTTTTTATATCAAATCAAATTGTATCTTTTTAACCGTGTTTGAAGAATATGCATAGAAGAAAAGGATCTATAAATATTTTGATTTATCCTGTGAGAATGAACGCATGTCACTTGAGATTTTTGCAGGCGAGCACGTTGGCCTAGGATCTAAAAATATTTTTGATTTATCCTGTGAGCATGAATGCATGCCACTTGAGATTTTTGCACGCAAGCACGTGGGACTGAAAAAAAAAACGTTTTTACTTCAAATAACTTGACGGTGAAATTATTTCTAGCGATATTGATTAACTTGATATTATAAACAAACTTATTATTGGTTCAAATTTTGTACACATCAAAAGGAAGTAAAATACTTCAGCAAGAAATACATTTGTTTTCCATGTTTTCCTTTTATAGTATTGCGTAAAGAAGTTTTATATGTTTTCACATAAAATAATTGATTCACTTTATTTGTGTTTGACAAATAAACGTACACGGATCACTAGTTTAAAAAAGGGAAAGTACATCAGTAAAGGTGACAAACAGTCATCCTTTTACCTCGTACATTAATCCAGGTCTTAACCACAAATAGCATAAAAACCGCAATAGAAGGAAAAGATGATGCTCGTGCCTTGCAACAAAAACCATTTTCGAAGAATGAGACCATCCAAATTGCCACATGATTACGAACTTTTAATAGCATTTATTAAATAACTCTAACATATAGCAGGCAGTATTAAGTAACTGCCTAAAGATCAAGACACGAATGCACAATATCAAATTATGCAAATGAGCATATTTATAGCTCAAGATCTTGCTTGAAAAGAATACAAAAATACGATGACAATGATTGTGAATTTTTTGTTGAAGAAAATTAGTATCATTCCATGTAAAACAAAGTCACAGTGGTGCAATCATTTTAATCCAAACTATGTGTGTGGATGACCCGATAAATATGGACTTGGGAATGCAATGCACTCCTTTATCAACTTCAAATCGTATGAAATTCAGAATGACGAATAAAAAAGTTGCACCCAGCCCTACGTGTGTTCAGTAATGTTGCATCAAGTCTTACGAATCACCGACAGAGGCAAAGAACGACCATCATAATGAATGCACAATGATATTACAAAATCTGCCAACGACGCAAAAAGACCGCAGTACTTTTTTCAGCTCCGCTTCACAGCGTAACGTCATTTTAAACACATTTATTTCTTCTCAATGTCCCATTTAGCCAAAAGGTAATACACATTCTAGGACGGGCAGTGAAGGCATGAGGTGTCGAAGATAGCAAGCCAGGTCCAAGGTAAGAGGGAAATGTGGGATTCATTAGATGAACCGAGTGTTATACATCGAGGAAACAAAAAGGCCGCCTCTTACTTATGTGTCAAGTATTCATAATTTATTCATTTGTTTTTATCCTTTAGTTTTTTTGTACTTGTAGCAAAATCAAAAGCCGTATACACCTTACTGTCTACTTCACCTGCGGAATTAAGGCGTTATAGCTGGGTCGGTATAACACCGCAGGGGATTTTCGCTAAAGTGCAATCAGTGGAATCAGCTTAATCAGCACACGATAGTAAATTACCCCATAGCTTTTCGAGTAGGCGTGTCAGGCAATTAAGCTGATTCCACTGATTCCACTATAGCGAGAAATCCCCCGCAGAGTTGGACCGACCCAGCTTTAGACTGAATAAATGCTCGGATGAGGATTATAAAATTGCCAAGAAATCCCTCGTCAGAATAATGATGATATTAAGACATTTAAATGAGGACACAAACCTTACTCTGGTTGACTATAAATTCTAAACATACGTAAACATAAATGAACTGCATAAGTGCTTGATTTAATCGGTGTAAAGTATAAATATATCGGCATATACGTATATCTGTTACATGCATGGTACTTTTAATTATGTACAAATTGCTAAAAAAAAACAGAGACAGTGTTAGAATAATTGTATAGAGGTTGTGGATACTAACGCCGGGTATTCTCAGACTGACCTATAGTGCAGGCATGCTGCGGTGGACCAAAATAAAACACGTCTACAGACATGAAGATTATTTATTACTGGTCAACTTTACCCTCAATTTACCCTCGCAAGCTTCACGTTACCCTGGTAAACTCCATTCATCAGCTTGACAACCATTGTAAACGGTCAGTCTGAAAGAAACTCGCCCTGCCTTTCTCATTTTTGTAAAGTTTCTCACCTGGTTAACTACTTTTTTTAAAGAATGACAGGGCTCGGATGCTAAGCCGACCCTTGCCCCTCCTGGTGTGGGGGGTTCGGTCAGACCCCCCGACCCCCCAAAAAGACCGCCACTTGTATACACGCATGTTTAAGGCCCACTCATTTTTCATAACTTCAATTTGTGTTATACTTTAACTCATTCATTTGTCATTTGTCTAAATTTCACTTTTTCTATTCACTTATTTGTGTGGATGCAGGCATGTCTATATAAAACATATCATTATGCTTTACATAATAAATGTACAGCCTATTCCTAGTTTCCCCTTTTTTCATCTGTAGATGTGTCTGTCCACACTAACGAGGGAAGTAATGGAAATTGATGTGGAAACTAATTCATTTTTTATTAACCTGTTATTAATTTGGCGATTGCATGTTTAACAGTTGGAAATTCAAAAAAATAAATGCACATCTTTCCCAAACAACTAAGTTCTTAGCCTTATACAGTGTATACACACAAGCCTACTTGTCATGCTGCGACGAGGCACATTACCATAAACTGGATGCTTTACTGCACGCGCTGATGCGTTCAGCACCATGTCCATTACATGTATTTATCAAGTCTTACAAAAGTTTCAAATAAATCAAGGACAATGTGCTTTTAATTCCACCAAGGAGTGTTTACTGGTTTATTGAAAGTGCGAGCAAACAGTATAATACGTACTATCATTTCTATCTTAATATGATGTTTTGGTTGTTTTACACCTTTTTTGCATTATCATCACGTCTTTTTGCAATCTATAGTATACAGACCTTTAACACGCTCAGACATGCAGTTACCAGATAGCAGCTTCCTATAGCCATGTGCACGCTTTTGTGTCCTTTTATTATTTATGAGGCTTATTCTACGAAAATACGTCAGTTTGACTAATTTTCATTTATTTGAAAAAAGATATTCAGAAAACCAACGTGGGTTCTTTTCAGAATGATGGAGAGACACTGTTTGTTTCAATTAACCAATCATTAAAGTAAAGGAATACAATAATCGTTTTTATTTACCTTCAGGATAATACATGTACGGCATGTTTCACGCAAGTAGTATACGTGCAGTCTGTAGTTCTCTGGGTCAAAAGCGCAATTCAATATTCAAAGGACAAAAAATATTTGCAGTTTTCATTTGTATTGCAAAATATGTCATAGTTTTGTGACCCTCTTTATGCATTTGGTGAAAGTGTTTATTTTGTGTTTGCCCTCTGATTTTTTTTTTTTTTTTTTTTTTTTTTTGCGTCCGAAAGTCATAGCTCATGTTTGTATGGGTGTACCGCGACAACCACAGAATAATGATTAGCAATAAACGGCATTCCCAACTCAAAATATGCCATCTGATGATCCTCTGATGATCCTGTGCACTTTCAAATGTATTCTACATGATGAAATATTACATTGAACACAGATTGAATTCTATCTGGTATATAATTCAACTTATGTGACCATTTTAATTAGGCCCATGCCAATGAGTGTTTTGAATCTAAGAGAATGTCCCTTACCCCCCACCACACCGCCTCCACCCTGCCTACCATTTGACCCATCTCTCATCTTCTGTGAGTTGACCCATGCTCATATCGTTTAAGAAATATAACAGCTTTACTTTATATTTTCAGGTTATCATGGAATTGAATCAGCTGCATTCGATGAGAGAACTCGAATCCAATGTTGATGAACCCGGAAAGGATATCAATGGAATATATCCAAACGCAAATATAGATCCTTCCATTGATGCCTGTCCCAAAGTTGGACGATACTCGACTTTATCAGATGATTCTGTTGACACACACTCCTTCAATGAGAGAGTTACGCGCACCCATTACCATAAAACTCGAAGGCGTTTCAAACAGGTGTGCCTAATAACGACCGTTGCGATAGCGGTGATCCTATCTGTCGCGGCGATCGTTGTGATTGTGCTCTTCACTACCGGGCCGATCCAACGAGAAAAGGCTACAGCGCCACAGGTAGGCCTTATTCGAGGTGCTTCACGCACGTTTTGGTGGGTGGATGCAAGGGAGACATTTTGTGTGGGGTGTATATGGTCTAGTGGGTCTATAGTATTAGGCATGGGCGTGCGAAAAGCCAGCTGTCAAAAGTATCGAAGGCAAATATCATTAGAAAGAAATTGCTGGTGTCAATCGGTAAAATTCACTTTTTCCAACTAGGCCTACTGGGAACGTTAACGTTATTCATCACAGTATCATTACCAGCGATTAATCAACCAAAGTCAACTATAACTGTAAGATGTTTCAATAATGTTTTGTAGATGAGGAAAATTATTAGACCTAGTTATTATAACCCTATGATTTACATGTACCCTCGTTGGTTTGCTTTTGGCCTATGAAACCAGGGTTTGCTCTAAAGTAATGTTTAACATCAGCAATAATGCCAGCTCAGGGCAAGGTGCAAAGTCATATTTTAAGTATGACAGATCGCTTAACTTGCATAACGACAGTTAAACAGAGAGGGACCACAGACCATTCTTTAAATGTATGTCCTCTATTCGTAGGCTCTTAAAAGCGACCTTGACGAGTCAAGGGTCGGAAGCTGTCACGTCGAAAACATTGGAATAGCAGATGCGTCCGCAGTGCCTTACAGAAGGGGCTCCGTTGTGTCTTTCAATAACATTTATGGCTGCTCTCGTCGGAATCAAAACCTTCATTACGAGATTCACGTGCTGGGGGTGACGTCAAGCGTCTCATCTGACGTCAGCATCGATGTCATACTGAACAAACGGGGTCCACTCACCGGTGATTTGATGGTTGTGTTGCTGTCCAACACTAATACAAATTGGACATTACAGAAAACAGATGCATTATCTCAGGAAATTACCCTTGTATATGTAAGTGGACGTCAACATCGGTTACAAAATAAGAATATCATGTTGAAATCATACATAAAGCGATATGTATTCATTTACACATGGAATAGAGATAAAGCAAAATAGAAATACTAGTAGTACGTTTACCGATAGATTAACGAAGTGAAACAGAATTAAGCTGAACATTCATCTATGTTGTGTTTATTTCTTTAGTGCAGGCGTGATAGTGTTATCACAAAACAGAAATTAGTTCAGCGGGTTCCTTACTTTTGTTCCAAAGATGGCGACTTTGCCGTAGACGTGGTTTCTAATATCATCAGTAACATAAATTCTCGTTATGGCGAGATCACGTCGTATACCTACACTCAACAGTGTGAAAAGTGGGTGCTATATTTTGGGGAAGCTCAACAAGGTAAATATTATTTTGAGAAAAATAAACATATCAGGTATATAAAACCAACTTTCGATAAAATTACGTGCATCCTTGCGCATTTATGATAAAAAATGTAAATAATCGCGCTGTTTATATATAGTTACCTCTTTACAAAATTACACTGGTTCAAAAAACATTTTATATTACAGGTATTTAATCGCTTAATATTTCACTTTCAAATAAGTCACTGAAGACTTCAAGCTATAACCAGGAATGGTTTCTTTTTACCAGCAGCTACCACCGAGAAACCCGAAAAAGAAATGACCACCCAAGCATTAGGCGTACTCGAAAATGCCAACATTTCTAACGTGCGGTTAGCCGACAGTTGGGATACGTCATCTGGCCATGTCCAAGTTTATATACAACAGAAGTGGTACTATTTATGCAACAGATTATTTTCTCCCAATGATGGCACTGTCATTTGCAAAACATTGGGATTTGGGTAAGTGAGTTTGCTGCAGGTGGTGCATTCTTTACACTTAAAAGGTGCGTTCACAAAGAATCTGTCGAACTAGGTAGTTCGATCTAACTCCGCGGTGACTGTCGCTGAATGCAATCATAATAAAAGATTGTCGATGAAAATCATCTTTCGATACAACATCGTGATTACATTCTGAAGCAAATAAAATATTGTGTAGGTGAAATCATTCTGACATGCATGTATTGGGAAAAAGAGAAACAGCAAATTAAAACTGAAAATGTATGTTTTACGTGTTTTTTTTTTTTATTATTATTTACAGAGATCGTGCCAGCGTGCATGTGGGATCATATTTCAGCACCCCAGTTGTCCCGCCCTTAAACCTCGGTCTACACTGCACGGGAAATGAATCGTCCGTCTACCAGTGTCTCTATAAGGAGAACTTATCCTCTCCCTGCTCTGTTAACGAGTTGACTTCGCTTACATGCACACCGGGTAAAAGCATAACTTAGAATGTATAAATGTTTATTTGTAAAAAGGGAGGAGCGGGGTGCACATCAAAGAAACGTTGTTCGTACGTACGCCTCACTTAATTGCTGAAGTTGCACCATTTTCTCTCCATTTTCAATTTGCTAGAAAATTTGCTGAAAGACATAAATTTCAACACAGTTATTGCACTATATAAATCTGAATTCCTTTCACAGAATTAACGACCACTACTGAACCAAGTAAGAGTAATATCCGGAATGTATCTGGCGTTCGTCTGGCTGATGGAACGGTCAAGAATATCGGACATGTCCAGCTTCTTATCGGTGATAACTGGTATTACCTATGCAATGACCGCTTTGAGGTGGCTGATGCCAAAGTTATCTGTAGAACCCTGGGAATGGGGTAAATAATATCTTCGCTTTTTCACTTGATTTACCGGTATTACACCTTGCTATATCCACAACTTAGTACTTAAGTTTTTTTCACATAGGGTCTCAGCATCACAGGACATTTATTTGAAAATGCACATTACAGGTGTTGAAATAATGTTTCTTCCATATACAAGGACATTACAGACGGGAAAAACTATATAAGCGGTGAACAAATACATGCACTTCTAAACCGTAACATATTATCATATTCGCTTTCAAATTTACTTATATATAATGAGTTTTATATATAAACTTCTTGCAGAAACCAGGCGCGTATACGGCGTGTGATACAGTACAGCGCTGTAGACTCTGTCCCCATGAGTGTGGAGTTACACTGCGAAGGAACAGAGTCGGATGTACGGAACTGCCCATACCAAGCATGGAGCCCTTTCCGACAGTCGTGTGACAAAAAAAATATTGTTTTCATGGAGTGTGTGCAAGGTACGTACCGGTATAGTAATACAGTGCATGACGCCAATACAATGACTAGCTTGATATGTAGCTATTGATATGTAGATTTACTTCATACATGATGTAGTGTGTTTATTGTGTTATCCAATCAAATACAAAATGAAAAAAAAAGAATTTAAAACAGGAAAAAATCCGATGATTATTACCTCTGATATCAACTCCGACTATTATCTTGTAAGAAAGCCAATCTTACATAACAGCATGCCACAGTAACAACAGAACTGGGCATATTGAGTAGTATTTAACGTTTTTTTATTAAAAATAACAATCAGAATTCGTTGTTTTATTAAGGCAAACCACATTTTCAATTATTTTCATCTCGTGCTCATAATTACGATGCAGCGTAGATCTCAAGATCTCCAAGTACAATTACAATGACGAAAGTTCAAATTGTCAAATTGCATTATAATGTAATCTAATATAACCATTTCTTGTTACTTAAAACTATTCTTAAATACGGTAAAAAAAGAAATTATATCTTTCACCTGTGTGTTGCTTGTAAAAAATAAGATGAAGAGTTAACGAATGATCGAAACGTTCTACCTTTCAGGCATATGAAAACCTGTTTATATTATCTCTTTAAATTGGTTGATTTTTTTACACTATTCTCAACCACTGAAGCCACCACGACTGTTCAGCCGACCATTCCAAGTCTATCACAAATCTCAGACGTGCGCCTCGTAAATGGCAGCACGAGGTACGAGGGCAACGTTCAGGTGAGGTATGGGCCGCATTGGCGCTACGTCTGTGACTATTCTTGGGGAGTCGAGGATGGGAATGTCGTCTGCCAACAGCTAGGGTTTGGGTAAGACTATGAAATTGTTCAATTCTCTGCAAATAGAGATCTGAGAATATAAAAAAGGCACTGGTACGTTCTTTGTCACATACCGCCCATTACTGCTGCACTTTGTACGAGATAATGAAATTGAGAAATATTGTCTGTCCCAGTACATGTAAGTCAACAGAGAAGTATTCCAGGACCATGGAGTGTAGGATCAAGAGTTGATGGTGCAATATATATTACCTGTAAGGTTTTCGGTGCGACTTATAAACAGGCCTACCCAACTACCAGACTCGGCACCGAATGATCCTGAATTCACCGGTAAATCGGACCACACTACCCGTTTTCAAGGTGTGAATCAGTACGCATTACACAGTATCAGACGCGGCACCGCTCTTGCCTAGTACGTGATGTGATAGTGACGATTCTCAGCGGGATTGAAAAGCATTGCATCACCACTCAAAATTTGTTCAGGGTATGATACTGTGTAATGCGTACTTGGCTCACACCTTGAAAACAGGTAGTGTGGTCTGATCTACCGGTGAATTCAGGATCATTCGGTGCCGAGTCTGGTAGTTGGGTAGGCCTGATAAATATACCTACCTATTTAGGAATGCATGTTACACAATAGAATACCAGTTATTTCAGTTGTCTCTATCTCGATCTTCTCTTGTTTAGACCGGCAAGCCAAGTCAACTTTAATTCATACTTCGGAAGTCCACCTGACGATTCTACGGCAGATATCAGTCTCAGCTGCTCGGGCACAGAGAAAAGTGTTGGAGAGTGCCGCTATTCAACCATGTTTGAGCGTTCCTTCTGCTCTAACACTGATGTGGCTGGGTTATCTTGCCACGTGGGTAGGTACCGTGTATATTCCAGTCTTTTTAACCACACAGGTGTATAGGTTGGATGCCCTTCTTAATTCTTCATACATTTTGCGAATCGAGGCAGTTTGTTTGACTTGCGCGGACCTTCAGCTAGATTTGTCCAAAAGATATTCTAATTTGCATGCTTACATAAAAATGATCTCATCTTATATGTATATGTGACATTCAGTAAGTAAATAAGTGCATAAATGCGCGCGCGTGTGTTAATTTTGCCAAGGTTACCATTTCTAAGATTCCTAACGTACATTATTATTGAATGCAAACAACATTTATAGTACCGATTTATTTCCAACTATGATTTTCACAGAGGAGGTTCTGTCCGATGGCTTTAACTGCACATTTGATAGAGGCATGTGTGGGATTAAATTGGATCTAACATCGTCATACAAGTGGGGTAGGGGAAGCGGAGGGACGCCAACAGCAAAGACCGGACCTTCTGCTGACCATACGACTGGGACCGGTAGGTTTTGGGTAATGTTATCACTTCAGAACTTACATTTTTATGATTATGTATCGTTCCTATGTCCCTTAGAGAAAACCTGTTTAATAGTCATATCACGAGTATATTAGTAATTTGTGATACAAGGAGAAACTAAAAAGATACTCTTTTGCTTCGTTCAATAATTGCAATGTAGTATAGTGAGATTTCCACAAAATGTGAGTGGTAGGGGTATTTTGGGGAAAAAGTTGGGAACCAGGCTTATTAGCATAATTTTGGCACGCTGAATCCGATTAACTCGGTTTCCAAGCAAAATGTTGCGTTTTTAACTGTCTAATTTGTAAAAACAAAATGGCCGCCAGATTTCCAATTTACCGGAATATCTCTGTAACTAGACAGGCGAATATGACAAATGAAGTGTCTTTAACTATATTTTCAGGGTCGAGGAATATTATTAAGATATTTCTGATATAATTAGATTTACACAATTTTTCTTAATATGCAAATTAGAAATACGCCATTACAGAAAAAGCGTTTCACTGTAACTAGGATGCAAACATGACACATGAAGTGCCCACACCCATGTTCTTAGGTTCTCATGAGAATTGGTTCCCAACTTTTACCCCCAAATGCCCTTGCTTCTAATGCAGGGCCTTTTTCAAAAATCCCACTAGACTAATGACGGGGCGAGGAGTAACCCGAAATGAAAGTGAGGTTATTAGAAAAGCAGAATGCTGCGAGAAAGCATTTGATTAGTATGAACATGACAGAAACATTTCTTTTGTGCAACAGGGCATTTAATGAAGGTGGGGTTAGATAAGTGCAAAAAATATTGCTTCAGTGTACCCGTTGGTATCTTTCTAGGCTACTATGCCTTTTATGAGTCAAGTGTCGGCTACAGTGGAATCAGTGCAAAGATGACCACGCCCACTATCCTGGTGAACAGTTCTAACTCCACCCCCGTCTACAATGTCTCCTTCTGGTACCATATGCACGGCAAGGGAATGGGAACACTAAGAGTCAAGCAGAAAGATAACTATGAGAGCGTCATTTGGCTACGGAGCGGGCCGCAAGGGGACGCTTGGCTTCATGAAGAGCTGCACATTATGGCGGAAGAAAACTTCAGCGTAGGTGGTCATCTCTTGCACAATAATAATATGGCATTGTATTGTCATACAATGCAGATGTTGATAAAGGCGCGGTTGTACTGAAAAGACGCATGGGATTGTTTTTTTTTATTATTATTTTTAGGTGGAGTGGGAACATTTACAAAAGAAGTTGTCGTTTAACCACTCCAAGTTTATTTTCAGATCGTTTTTGAATATGTTAGAGGGTCAAGCTTCTTAGCAGATGTTGCCGTAGATGATATATACATCAACCAGATTTTCAGTAAGTTTCATTTCAGGCCAAATTAATGTAGGCTATTAACCTATTTTGATCTTTTGGAGGCATGTAACTACCCTTTAATAAAACGTAGGTGACCATAACAAAAGTTAACATGGTTTCTTCAAATTAAATCCTACAAATTGTGTCACTGTTGCACATTATTCCCTTTGTTTCAGATGCTGTTAATGTCACCGTTCCTGACAGGGCTGAAGGTAGGTGGCCTTGACCTGTGTATCTCTAAGAATGTATAGCAAGAATTTATTGACAATGTTCTGCACCTAACTTCAACCTTTCTGCTCTAACATGTAATATACACTGCATCAAGATATACATGCAATTCCAAATGTTTACGTTGCAGTATACATATCAGCGAGCCACGCAGACGACATTTTTCGAGAAATAATTTAAATGTATAAGTGTATACTGTATGTTTTTTCAGTGAGACTGGTAGGTGGCAGCACCAGACGTGAGGGAAGAGTAGAGGTATTCTACATGGGGCACTGGGGAACTATCTGTGACGACGGGTTCACTATGTCTGCCGCGCGGCTGGTTTGTAGACTGGTTGGTTTTAGGTAAGTGTAGGGCGCGGTTGGGTATTTTATATCATATATAAAAAATCGTTTAATACCATTACATTCATACAATTGAAAAGGTGTAGGTGTCCCACATGTAGATGATTCTTTAGTTCAATGCGTCTCCCTGCATGTTTCCGTACTGATAACGTCAAGGGTGCCTTAAAGACATATTTCTTAATGTGGGCTTAATGTTTTTTTTTTTTTTTTTTTTTTTTTGCATGGGCAATTATCTTACTTCACCATAGCGCACTATTTTATTTTCTGAACGACAATAAGTGAACTTTACCAATAATGTGACTTTTACTTTTAAGTATATTTATTGTGACCTGCTTCACTACGCCCTTGATATTATTATTATTATTTTATTATTATTATCGATACTGTAAGTTAAATAGCACATGCACTACAAAAGAATGATAAAAGTAACTAAAACAATTTGACATTGTCCACTAAAACAAAACATAATAAATCATTCAGTTTCTTTAAAATACATGTAGTTCAATAACATAACAGAAGAATTCTTCATTTTTCTTTCCTTCCGCCTGTCCCTCTTGCAGCGATGCAGTGCATTTCAAGGGGAGAGCTCACTATGGTCGAGGCACAGACCAAATATGGCTCAGTAATCTGAACTGCAATGGCTCGGAGATTTCAATAGACGAATGTCTTCACGGTGGGTGGGGTACACACAGCTGTTCACACAGAGAGGACGTGGGAGTACTGTGCAGAGATCCAGGTAGGACCGACAATAAGGATGCGAAAAAAAAAAGAAGAAAAGAAAACATAAATTTCCTGAAGTAAACGGTATTTTTCTCTGACTGACCAACATTTCATCCTCCTTTCCTGCAACTCGCCATCCCTTTGTAAAAATTTGGGATAACTAAAAAGTCCTTTTTTTCATGTAGATTAGGGCTAAGCATTAGTTTTTTTTTCCTTTGACAGGAAATGAAATAATTGAGTGTTCGTTCGAGGGAGGCCTGTGTAACTTTACGCAGGAGGCTACAGACGACGCGGACTGGGTGCTTCACACTGGGGCCACGCCTACTTCCGGCACGGGTCCGAGCTCAGATCACACTCTACAAAATTCACAAGGTAATGTCGTGAACCCAACAAAAAAGTAAACACCCAGGGCTTTTCAACTCTCATTATTTTGCCTGAATGAATTTGGTTGCTCAATGAAGATGTGTTAGAATCTAAATTATTTAGAAAAGGCGACCATATTACCACCAACATATTAAATATACCTGAAAACATCTACGATAGATGAATGTACCAATGAAATACACTCAGGATCAAAATTGTCGCTCTAGAAATGCTTGCGTACAAATCATGCCTTGTTTCTGCCCTATCCAGGTTACTATGTCTACCTTGAAGCCACAACTATCTCGGTGAACTCTTCGGCTCGGCTCGTGTCGCCGCTGATCGATGTCAACGCCACGAGGGACTACAACATCTCCTTCTGGTTCCACATGCAGGGATCGGATATGGGGAGGCTCAGAGTCATAGTTTCACAGAACAACACAAACAAAACTCATTTTGACTTACCAAAAGAAGGGGCCTCGCGATGGCTCTTCTACTCTTTCAATGTCACCGTTTATTCACCTTTTCAGGTTTGTGACCATTTACTTGAAAATATTTCAAGAACACCGTTGTTTAGACAAATTAATGTGTTACTTTAGAGGTATGCGGTGTTTGGTTCTTTATAATGAATATGAGGTAGAGTATACTTTTCTTCTACAAATGAACATGACATACGGCACACTTTTTACGCTAACATTGCTGCCAGTGACTCATTAAACAAATATCAAAAAATTTTTTTTTTCTTTCACTTTTTTTTATTCATTTTAAAGTCAGGTTATGTAAAACTGAGTTTCTTATTACTTCCAAATCAGGTTATCTTTGAGGGAATCCGCGGTAGTGGTGTCAGGTCGGACATAGCACTTGACGACATAGCTATCTCACCTAGTAAGTTCATAAAATATTTGCCGAACAAGAAAAGTCTGAATGTCAGGAATGGTGTATATTACTAATTACAGATACATATCGAGTATGACAAGTAGTGTACTGTGTTTAACCATTTTTATATCTTAAATTAGGTTCGTTGACCATTTGAATACCCTTACAGTAATTTAACCAGTTTATATGAATCATTATAGTCCCAACATTAGATGAACAATATGTTTTTTTCTTTTTGACAGACTAAATGTTAACATCCCACATATATCGTTTTATTAAAATTGTGCGTTTCCATGCTGTACACCGTATAGTAAAACAAAATACATTTTAACGAACTATTTTTAACTCGCAGGTAATTTCAGCGGTTTGCAATCGGACGTCTCTTTGCGTCTGTCGGAGGGGTTTGAAGACTGGGAAGGAAGAGTTGAGATCTACTATAAGGGCGTCTGGGGAACCGTGTGCGACGATGAATGGGACATTGATGACGCTAACGTCGTGTGCCGAGCTTTGGGTTACAGGTAAACAGATATACAATAAGGAGTTTACTTTTTTCAAACAGCAAAATATCCGGTCGAAAATATTCAGTGAACCACCTTTAGCTGCAGTTGTGATTTAATGTATTCTAGTTTATGATGTGACACAGGGATATATGGGTTTATTTTAATGAATTAATTCCCCTAAAAATGAAAATTCTCTTGTAGTCTTGTAATTATTGATCATTAAAATTCAATTATTAAACTAGTGAATCATTCCATCATATCATGCGCATGCTCAACCCATAATATATATACCATAGAACTGAATTTGTTGTTCGTTCGTATTGGCTTGCACTTGCCTTTTTGAGCTGCGCTAATAGTTAACCGTCATAGTGTAATAAATGACATCCTCGTTCCTTACACAGTGGAGCGGAGGCCGCTTACAAAGCAGCAGCCTTTGGCGGAGGAACTGGTCGTATCTGGCTGGATAACGTGATGTGCCTCGGGTTCGAGCCGTCCCTAGAATACTGTGGACATAACGGCTGGGGAGTTGAGAACTGTGGACACAGTGAAGATGCCGGTGTCAGTTGCACAGTTCCAGGTGCGTCATTAATGACATGGAGTAGCCAGGCAGGCACCCAGCCAACACGGAGCGTTATTTTAACGTTACCATAACGTTTATATAACCAAAAAGCCTTTTGATAACGTTATGATAACGTTACAAAAATGTTCTGTGTTTGCTAGGCGCAAACTAAATGTTTGTTTTTTTGTATGTGATTTCAACCTGTGCACTTCCTGTTTTTCACTTGAAGATAAAATTATTCGCCCGCAGGTCGAAGTAACATTGTGGACAATGTTCGTGTTCCCGTTTTCATTCCATTTAATCCTCATATATGTTTGGGTCTTAACCCAAAACGCGTTTGAGTCATAGACAAAAGCTAGAAGTAATAAATTAAGGTATTTTTAACGGAAGTCGACTCTCCTGAATCTTACTTGAATGTCCACACTTGCTTCACTATTCCAGATATTACGATATCAGCCAAGCCTAACGTCAGCTGCGACTTTGATGGTAACTTTACTAACTTGTGTGGCTTGGCAGACAAGTCCAATACGGAATTCAGCTGGCTTCAAGGCAGTGGGTCTACGCCTTCCATAGGCACAGGACCGCCTTCTGATCATACAAAGGGGTCAATCTCGAACCAAGGTTGTCTTATCAGTCCTTCATGGTTTAGATATAGTTTAATTAAACTGCCTTTGGAGATAATCCATACTTCATTTCATTTGCTGCTTGACTCTTATTCTTAACTATTTTTTCGTAGTTTTATTTGTGCCCACTATCAAAGGTGCGGGTATATGTCAATTTTATTATTTTGCAGTGGCTTTAATATGCAACATAATTTAAGCATATCTACAGCTAATGTCTTAGAAGATTTTATATACATATACACTACTGCAATTATGCATCATGTAGTTCTTTCTATACTCCAGGATACTATATGTACACTGATGGCACCAAGGGGTCCTCAGGAGACAGTGCTAAACTGGTGGCGCCCACTATCCAAAATACCTCTGACGTTTATGACATAGCATTCTGGTATCATATGCACGGTTCTAATATTGACAAAATGAATGTTTATGTTAATACGAAGGCCAATACGAAGGTTATATTATGGGAAAAACAAGGCGACCAGGGAATGGAATGGCATTATGGGAAAGCCACACTGTGGACAAATGGCAGTTTTAAGGTATAGCCGGTGCATATCTCATGATAGCTTCTGTACATATAGTTAAACTTAAAGATGAATTTTTGAAGTAACTCCCACTTAAACAACGCGCGCGAACTGGCAATAAATAAAGAAATAATTACACTTTCTCTGCATCAATGTCCATTCTGTGTGGTGAATGGTCATTAATTGAAACTGTTATCAAGTAAGCCTAGGTTATGTCCTCAGTTTTTTGTTTGCTTGGAACTTTTCTTTTGTGTGACTTTATTTTTGTTTATATATATATATATATATGATTTTACGAATAATTTTCTTCTATCACTGGTGCATGCTGTCTGAAGTGGTTTGATTTTATATGGTCCGTATTGATTTCACTGTAGGTGGTGTTCGAAGCAATCCGCGGAGACGGCTACAAATGTGATATTGCATTAGACGACATATACATAGGGCCGTCAACGGGTAAGACACACAACGATTTCTACCATTTTCACACTTACATTATGCTATCATACAACGTGCTTAAAAATTAATTTGGGTTGCCGTTTTAAATCTTCACTGTAGGCTATTTGCTGTTTCTGGACTCTGCTAAACATACATGTAAACGCATTTTGCGTCACTTAATGTTATTCATTCATTTTTGTGTTTATATGCGTGTTGTTATTGACAATACAATTCATAATCTTACGTTACATGCGCGAGCAGTTCCCGTCATCACGAACCTGACTTGTACTTTTGAAGACGGTTTCTGCGGGTTGATATACGACATAGATGAACACATGATGTGGACATTACGTCAAGGGCGCACCCCTAGTGTAGCTACAGGTCCCAGTACAGATCACACCCTCTTCAACTCACTGGGTAAGGTATATGTGTATATTTCTTGCAGTACTTGGTAGTGATTTTTAGCGAGTTTGACAGCATTTCTTCGTTCAGTTGCCGTCAGAATGGGACTGTGTAGGAATATTAGGACTCGAAAACATCCATAGATATCAGAAAGTCTTCCTCGATTCGAGGGACTACCACTAGTAGCCACTGTGTTGTAAAAGTTACATTATTTCAATCCCATAGACATTAATATTAACCATTCAGATTTTCATTTTTAGCAGATGGTTAAGGAGAAATGAAAAGCATTTTCAAACGGTCTGTTTGTTATTATTTTTACCGGTGATGAAGCAGTGATATGTTTTTCTTCCAACATCAATTATATATAGAATATGAAAAGTGAGGGGCAAGTGAACGAAAAATAACATCAAACTACCAACGTGTGTTGTTGGAACAAATGTAAATGTCAATAAACTTTAATGGTGTGTCACACTTTCAAACTAAGGAACACGGAATTACGTTGCCAGTATCTTTCCAGGACATTATATATACATTGAGAGTAGTCAAACTGGAGCCAAACAGGGGCATTCGGCAATATTGAAAACAGCACGACTTCGAGGCGGCCAGTCCTACGCTGTGAGTTTCTGGTATCATATGTTTGGACAAGACATAGGGAGCTTGGCGGTTTACACCGAGGGACTGGACCAAGTTGTCGACTGGAATGCGTCTGGAAATCACGGTGACATATGGCAACACGGAAGGATGGTAGTGAATGCCTCAAACGATTTTCAGGTAACATTTCCATAACCATTGGCATATCTTTGAAGCTTTGGCAAAGATGTCACATGTACCTGAAACACGTCGGTATGTTGTCTTGAGTCCGTGGTTTGTCTCTTCCCACAATAGCTCCGCCATCAGAACAGTTCTGTACTTTTGCTTTGATGAATTGAGCCTGTGGAGAATAACTGCACTATGCACTAGTACAACATGTAAGTCCGTCTAAAAAGAATGAAATTACGTCCTTAACATTATTAAAGAAATCACAGGAAAATGAGGCGTACCTGTTTAGCCTAAAAAAGAATTGATATTTGTTTGATGGTTTACTCCAGCTTGTCTTTAAAGCCAGCCGAGGCGAATCTTACAAGTCAGACATTGCACTAGATGACATCACAATTCAGCCGTTCAGTGGTGAGTTTATCTACTGTTAGAATGATTATCAATCAAGGGTACTTGAACAGCATCATCTTTCTGTATTCGATTGAGTGAATGTGTATAACTCTGAACATTCTACATGGTTGTTTTCCCTCAACCATAATGGACTTTTCAATTTTCAAAAATAAAAGTTTGTTACAAATCACTTTTCTCTAAACCCTGCAAAATATCGCTTGGTCTCAGCGCGCACAGTCGCCAGGCTGGGCTACCCGGGATAATTTCCCATGGAATCCTCAGTTGAACCAAGCGCTTTATATTAATAGATTAATTTGTTAATATATAGATTAATATATTAATTAATAGTGGCTTTGTGCCATTTTCATTAATCTATAGGTTCGCTCCCTCCTTTCACAACCCCGGCTCCTTTAAACGTGCAGGTCCGCCTGGCCGGTGGTCTTTATGAGCATGAGGGACGGGTGGAGGTGAACTACAGAGACGTCTGGGGCACCATCTGTGACGATAGCTGGGACGTTAAGGACGGCAAAGTGGTGTGCAAAATGCTTGGTTATAGGTGCGTATAGAATGTTGGTTATCAGTTATTAGACAATAGATATGGCGTACGAGCCAGACACCTCCCACACCACACCCCCACCCCCATTTCGCTAGTTTTTTAATGGTTAGTCCCACTTTTTGATTGCTGCGCACGTAGTAAATGTAACAGGATTTTGTAACAGATTTATTTTCTCTTGCCTATACATTGCATTCTCAGCAATCAGTAGATCAGTTATGTGAATTGAGTACTAATTGAGTACACGATGTTTTTTCACGTGTTCTTGCATTCACAAGCCTGGAGTTTGGTTATTTATTTATGTTAGTATCGGTTTTGTTGCTTTCACATATCCGGTGAAGAAAGAAATACGAACATTACGAAAAATCCTTTTCACATTTGGCCTTGGAGAAGTGTGGCTTAGCCAGTCACCACCAAAAAACTTTACCACAATTTTCAAACAAAGACAAACTGACCACTTTACCCAAATATGCAATAGCAAACTTCAAGCCAACAGTAAATTGTCTTTCTTCCGTATACTTAACCAAAAGTGTGAAAGGGCAACTTACGTTGATAAAATAACAAATTACGACACCTTGTCAACCCTTGCTAAACTACGTCTTAGTGACCATAAACTCCACATCGAAACTGGGCCAGGCCAAAAACTGAAAGGTGCGACAGAATCTGTCACCTGTGCACCCAAGGGGTAATTGAAGATGAATACCATTTTATATTCCAATGCCCTATGTACAAAGCAGACCGAGTCACCTTTTTTTAGTAAAACCTCAATCCTAAAAGCTGATACAAGGTCACCAGACAGTCAATTATGTCATGTATTTAACAGTGCCAACAAAGATACTTTAGTGTCCCTCTCCAACTTTATAATCAAATCATTCAGGAAAAGAAGTGAAGTGGTTGCTCTGCTTGGTAACTCTTAGCATATCCCTTAAAATGTCAGTATATGGCCCCACTGTTGTGAGAAGTGACTCGGCAGTGGGACTGAACATGGCACAATATTTATATCTGTGTAACTTAATTATTTACTTATCTGTCTTATGTAATTGTCATTAATCGTAATTATCTGTGTCATCAAACTGGCTTTAAACAGCCATGTAAACAGCTATGTAACTGTGGTTTTAAGTTTAAACATATCCTTTTGTGTGACATGTTTATAGTATGTTTATGGTAAATTTTTAATCACACCAAGGTTTATCTCATTGCTTAGATAGAATATTTTATGAGTAATTTTACTAGTACGTATGTTCATTATATAAAGATTATTATTATTATTATTATTATTATTATTATTTTCATTCACAAATGGCTAGGCAACATAATACCAACTAGAGAAATGGTAACGCACTATTTGTATTGTATTGTCATTAATATATCATATTGTACAAGGTCATGACAATCTATGTACCAGTACAGAAATAAATTGAATTGAATTGAATTGAATTATAATCGCATGTTGAGTAAAGTACTAATTAGCATATCCTTTTAGGGGTGTACACTTCATTATTCGGTATCAGATCTACTTGTCTGGGCATAGACAAACTTTGTGGTATGGTTTGTTTTCCGTTCACACCAAATGACACTAGTGTACCCACGTGTTATTTCAGCGATGCAGCAGCCGTCTACAAAGGCGCCCATTTCGGCGCTGGTTTGGGTGCAATATGGCTGGATGATTTACAGTGTAACGGGAACGAAAGCAGTTTGCTATATTGTCAGCATGCTGGCTGGGGACACGAGAATTGTGATCACACAGAAGATGCTTCAGTCAGATGCTCTCTGGCAGGTAAACTATGAGAGTTTGTGCTGAATATCGGTTGATTCAGAAAGGAAGGAATCACTAGAAGCGACCGACTGTCAATATATACAGGGTAGCCTCCAATAAATTATATGCGTAACTATCACATCGGGACATTTTATCATTTTATCATTATATTTAAACTTTTTATCAGGTCCCAAAATCAACTGCGGTCCCGCAGTTGATTTTAAAATCTAGGTATTAAGCAACAGAGACCACATATGCGCTATACATCTACCATAACCAGAAGTTTCTCATTGACTTTAATGTTTTGTCGCCTTTCAGAAACAACAACCACAGCTGCGACTACCACATTGTCTGTAAACACGTCGTGGTGCCTTCCAAATGGTACTGTAAGGGCCAAACCCCACCCTACGAGTTGCCGTGAGTTTCTTTTCTGCTCACGGTCTGGCAATGTGGTTGTCACACCTTGCATAGCCGGGGACTTGTTTCATCCAGAACGAGGCATCTGTGTCAGAGAGGAGCACATGGCCCAACGGTGTTACTCGGATGGAAGACGAAAAACCGGTAAAAGTTGTATAAAGTAAAATAATCAATGCTTATTATAATGAAATATATATACGTCATCCTTCTACTAGAAAGGTACAAATGTAAAAACATATTGATAATTTGGATGAAACAAAAACCTCATCGCAACTTTTTGCGATTTGCTTGGCCCTCAGTACTATACCGTACATGTACCGGTACAATTCTGGTGGTTTGCTTTACGCTACTTCCTGCTCGATTATTCCTAGGGTTTTCTAAATATGAAAATTGAAATTTTGTGTACAGCTTTATTATTGGTTTCATTATTTTCAGGTGTGCCAATCCAATGCCCTGACGGATGGGTTGAGTTCCAGGCTCGTTGCTATAAGTACTTTGATGCCGTAAGCAATTATGATCGTGCTTTGAATACGTGTGCGACGTTCAATGGGAGCCTTGTCAGTATACTTTCGCAAGATGAGCAGGGCTTCCTTGAATCTATGCTAAGGTAAGAGGTGGTAACCTTTTTTCCAGTACAGGTATTCGAAGCTTTTGACTACAATATGGATATGTAATAAGATATGAACATTTTATTGGCTCTATGCCGGTGTAACAGGAATGGAAGTCCGAGGAATGGAGGTCCGGGCTCCCATATGATTAGTACAGGTTAGGGTTAGTTGGAGTATTGGGGTTAGTATATGGGACGAATAGCACCTGTACAAAGTAATGGGTGGCAGACTACGGTTCCTAGCGGACTTCCATTTCTGTTACACCGGCATATAAAAAACATACAGATCGATACAGTCCGATGGGAGGAATAAGATAAGTGGACCATGCCAGCTATTTAGTTTCTGAAGTTTTTTATGCCGATCAAGTATTATTGGTCTAATGAAGACAGTAGTATATCCACTTATTCAAATTAATTGGCCAAATCGAAATGTATCACTTTCATCACAACCGCACAAAGTGTTCTGCATTGCAATTATTACGGGCTATGGATTTTTTATTCACCTTTATTGTTTTACTGCAGCCGACAACAAGACCACAATGGGTAATATCTGTACTTAATATTTTTAAATATTTAAGTTATTAAAATAACATTCTCTGATCTTTTTGCCCAAATGCTCCCATCCTTTTATATCGGATATATTCCACACAAATTGTTTATGAAACATTGGCAGCTTCAGGCCGTTTGCCAATGTACAAATTATATTTAACACCTCATTTGAAAAATATGTCATTTCATGTCATTGTTAACGTATACTCCGTGGAACTTACAGCAACTACACGGGTCCTCCAACGTTCATATACATTGGCCTGGATGATATCGCTGTGGACAGAGACTGGAGATGGACAGATGGCTCCGTTGTCCAGTACACCAACTGGGATGTCCGAAGTGGTCAGCCCACCAAACTTGACATTGGCGAAGACTGTGCTACCATAGCTCCCCATATCCTCTACCTGTGGTATGATAGACAGTGCACGCTGGAATACCCTTTCATATGTAAAATATAAAGACTCGTGGCTGAGTTTTCAAATATGTACTAATGAAAATGGCGAAACAGGCCGCGTTTACATGCACTATAGTTAGCATTTTTTATTGGGGTATTCAATTGAAAAATGAAACATGTCGACTTTTGGATGCCGCTTACTTTAGTAACTCCTGAGATTTGTGAAAGATAATATTCATGTGAAGGATGCACCTAAGCATTTGCTTGTTTTGCAAGTAAATTCAAGCAAATGTTGTAGCACCGAAGCACAAAGCAATCCAGTGTTTTTTATATGAATCTACTATATGTAATAGTTATTTTCCACTGTACCCCATGAAGTCTTATTAGATCTACAGTACAGAAAGGTCACTACAGTACAGAACGGTCACTTCTCGTTTTATATGTTTTTGTTTTGTTTTTTGGGTCTAAGTGTAATGTATACAGATACGCTGGTAAATTATGATGAAATATTTCCCATTTTCCAGAATGCATTGAATGTTTTAGTACAGAAGTTGATACATTTAATGTTAATCGGACTACGATAATTGCATCGGTGATGGCAGTTGATGTAAAGCAGGGCGCAACGAGTTTAAAACGTACTCCGTTGTAAAATATGAGCAATGTACGCTTTTATATATGTATATATGCATTTATCAAGAAAGTGAAATACGTACTGCAAGTTTAACCATTATGTAACCATGTGCCATATTAAAGATTGGAATAAAAATTAAATTTTCATTGTAAAATGTTTAGATAGATTTAAGAAACAAAAAGAGGCAGTAAAGTAAAAAACACATGCCAACATGCATTGTGGTGTTTGCAATGCAGATGTATGCTATGTAAAAGGACTTTGCTCACTTGTTTCGAACATTTAAATCCGAGTTACAGAATATATATGCGAAAAAAGCAAGTTTGGAGAATGAATAAAATGTTTCAATTATTGTGTTTCTTTTATCAAGAGCTTATAAAATATGTGGGTATTACCTCCAATATTTCTGTGACTCAGTCACCATCATCAGGGAGTAAATGACTAGGGTCATTTCATCTGGAATGAAAATCCAGCTCAATTGCCCCTAATCACTGGCCTTGTTTTGTACAACACAGTCATTTACTCCCTGATGATAGTGACTGACAGTCACAGAAATATTGGAGGTAATACCCACATATTTTATAAGCTCTTGATAAAAAGAAAAACAATAATTTAAATTGATACATACAGAGCTAATGAAACTGTTCTCTCGAATAAAATGTTATTTAATAACAATAACTTGGGCACAGTCAAACGTAACAGTTTACTCCAGAGAGCTTTTAATGCTATTTGGAATCTGAATAAATTAGTATGAAATAATGGGAAAAGCACGGCTTGTTTTCGTTTTGGTCAAATTACTGGGATAATAACAGGGAGTAATTCGCCAGACAACGAAAAAGTAAATTGCTTCAATAATTAAGGGATACAACACATATAATGGACGTTTTTGCATCGTACCGTGAATGTGTTTCTCCATTTGTCGTCTCTCGTTATCAGGCCGGTAATTTATCGACGATCACTAAAAGATTCCCCTTGTAAATTACATGTATTTAATTTTTTATCTATGAATTTGCATGAATATGAATTTTAAGTTATTTACAGAGTTGAATGACCAAAAAGTGCCTCAAACCATTTCAGGTTTCTATCCCTTGATCATATGAAACTATGTTAACTACTAAATTCATGTACATATATTTGGAGTGTATTCATTTGGGGTGCGTGTGTTGAAGAAAACTTTCAGTCTCAAATAAAGCTAATTCGAGTAGTGAAAAGCGTTCTATTTTGCAGTATTATGAACTTAAAGGTATTTTTTTAATTTTGAAAGCATATTCAGAAAATAACACCTAAAACTAATGCCACCTAGAAATTTCATTTAATATTATAATTAATTTTACTATCAGACCAGCCGTTTTCCTGAAGGTCAACCTACAATGTCACATAAGACTATATACCAAATATGTTCTGAGTAGATTTCGTAAAAAGATATAGCAAAAAAAAAAAGAAATATTAGAAATATATGCTACATGTAAATGCCAAAAATGAAAATTCAAAGGCATGTTACTAAATGATACACAACGTAATAAGGCTCAAACCGAACAGCATTTCAAAATACTACTTGTCTATCTAAGATATCGAGGAACAATGTTACAGATCAGCGGGATGAACCATTTGGCAGACAGCCAGACAGACATCACTTTCACCAAGTAAATGGCGACTCGGACAGACATCAGTTATTGCTACTGCACAACAATTAAGACAACCCATGTTAAGGTCATTTAAACGAGCGCACTTGTAAACGTCTAAATATGATAATTTTCTCTTGATACTTATCAGAGATACCGTTCGCATGAGGAAACACGAGTCATTTTCATAGATAATTGATGTTATCTAACCGTAAGGAGCGGCCTGCAATTTCTGGCATCTTGGTCAATCATCAAATATCACGATCTCTATAAATAAAGCTTTTTTACACTGTTTGGCACTCTATGTAGAGGACTTCTTAATCGTCGGAACTCAGGTTTCCGCAAAACAATCTTAGTTTTGTTATAGGTATTTTAGGTTTAACATATTTTACGCGTTTTTTTTTTTTTTTTTTTTTGG